TATTATATACCACAGAATTGCTCTTCTAACGGACTTCCAAACAGCTCACAGTTATCTAACGGAAGATCCTAGAAGACAATACAATACTAGACAGAATAGCAAACTGAAGAGTAAACTGAAGAGAAAACCCATTTATTTCAACTAGCGGGGCTGGTTTGAGTTAATTTTAAATTGATTTTAAATTGGGTTATTTTAATTTACGGCCAATAATATTTAATTATTTTAAATTGTTTTTAAATTTTGTATGTATTGTTTTTTACTCTGGCTGTTCACCGCCCTGAGTCCTATTCTGGAGAAGGGCGGTATAGAAATTTAAATAATAAATAAATAAATAAATAAATAAACTGAAGAGTAAACTGAAAAGCAAGGTGAAGAGTAAAGTGAAGAGCCAGAGGTTTCTGTTAAGAATTTCCTTTTATATTGTTAACTGTGACAGTTAGGGGAGGGCCTGGGAGATTCAAACATATTAGCTGCCCTCTGATTGGTTTATATATCTGTACATTCCAAAAGCCATTAATAGGCACAGCTATAGAGAAATAATTTTTCTCTTACAGGGGGGCGGACATGCACCGTCTTTTTGGCCTGGATGGCCACCTGTAGCATTCTGGCAGCCAAAACGGGGCACAGGGTCTGCGTGTGGCCCCTTGCGTGCCCCATTTTTGGCTTGGATGGCCTCCTGCAGTCAAAATGGGGTTGGGGGGGGCGTGCAAGGCCCTCCCACGCCTTGTTTTGGCCAGCAAAGTGCTGCAGGAGGCCGTCCAGGCTGAAAACGGGGTGCGCGGGGACTGCTATGATTATTTAGGAAGTTTGAGGTTGTACAAAGTTGCCTCATGTGCATTATGTTTCTTGTATTGTTGTTGTTGTTAATGGTTTTTATTCATAATTTTGTGTTTGTCTTACATGCTGCCCTGAGCCACACAAAGTTGGGTGGACACTGGACACCTAAGTCGATTTCATGACTTACAGGAGCTCAGGAAATGGGAAACTTGACAATATACTTTGTATTTTTTATTTATTTATTTATCAGTTGAAGGAGGGCGTGTGCATTGATTGAGTCACTGGGTTCTGTGAATTTTGGGGTTGGTGGGAGTAAAAATACTTTATTAGATTTTTTTTTTTATCTTGCCATTATTATTTTATAGGTCACTCAGGGCAACAAACGTACATAATATTCCTTCCTCCTCCTCTTTTCCCTACAACAATGTCACAGTGAGGTGGGTTGGGCTGAGAGAGAGTAATTGCCCTGAAGTCCCCAGTTAGCTTTCATGCCTAAGGCGGGACTAGAACTCACAGTCTCCTGGTAATTGGCCCAAAATCATTTAGATGGGGTTTTTTTTTCATGCCTAAGGCAGGACAACAACTCACAGTCTCCTGGTGATTGGCTCAACAGCTCACTTTCATGCTTAAGGCAGGACTACAACTCACAGTCTCCTGGTGATTGGCTTAAGAGCTCACTTTCATGCTTAAAGCGGGACTAGAACTCACAGTCTCTTGGTGATTGGCTCAACAGCTCATTTTCATGCTTAAGGCGGGACTGAAACTCACAGACTCCTGGTAATTGGCCCAAAGTCACCCAACTCACTTTCATGCCTGAGCCAGGACTAGAACTCACAGTCTCCTGGTTTCTAAGCAAGTAGCCACTAATCCAAATCAGCTCTCAGTTTCTGGTAGTTTCAAACTGCTCTCTGAGGGATTGGAGATAGAAATCCATCATATGGCAAATACTCAGGCTTGCTGTTCAGAAATATCTATGAATTTAAACATCTCTTGCCCAATTGAACTAGGCAGATCAGTCTAAGTTCTAAACATGATTTGGTGAGAAATTAATGTGCCAGTTTTAGTATTTCCCAGATCTACTAAATAGGCAAAATAAACCACATTTCTTTGTGCCAATATTTGTCTTTTGTATGCGGATTATGGAAATGTGCATATTTCAGAGATTTTTCGTAGGAAAATTTCTTAGAAAAATGCCAGTGGATAGGGGATGACAAGTCTTCAGGTTAAAACAAATGAAATGGGTAAATGCAAATTCAACAGATTCTGCCATCTCTATTCCAGCATAAACCTCACTGAATATGGGGGGGGGGGGTTTGTACTGAAAATTACATTGTTAGCAAACATGAATAGAATTGTATTGCATTAAAAGTTCTCTTGTGCTGTTGGTGGATTTTCTGAAGGCAATTTTGTTAGCTAGTTTAGGAAGTGAAATTGTGGGTCAGCGGGAACAGGAAGGCTTTGTAGGGTCTGCTAAACCCAGAATATGAAATTCGTATTGAATAAGGCAGTTTAGCTTTACAAGAGAAAGCGATTTGCAAATATTGGTGTTTTTTTTTTTTCTGTTGCAGACCAAAACCCAAAGATTGTAAAAATAAATAAGGGAGATACCCACAATCTGAAATCTATACTTTTAAGTATGCTTTTAAAAAACGTTTTCCCCATAAACCATAAGTTACGGTGATTAAGAGTGTATTCCCGTGGCTCATCAATTGATATCTTTGTTGTTGTGTTGGTTTCAGAGTGAAGTCTGCCATGAAAAGCAGCTGATTTCCTTCTTCAAAAAAAATGTGACTCTCCTTATGCAAAAACGAGACGTATTGTAGAATGTCGGAGCAAAACGCAAATTGCATTTGTGCGTTCTGTCGCTCTGCACTCGTGATTTATTTTTTTAAAAAAAATCTGACATTTTAAACTATTTTTTTTTCTTGGTAGCTAAACATAGGTTTGGAATGGAAAGTGTGGGAGGAGAATGATATTTAAAGGGGTAATTGGAAATGGTTTGAAGGAGTAAATACAGTGTAGTCCTCAACTTCCGACCACTATTCGGCCCAAAATTTCTGTTGCTAAGCGAGACATTTGTCAAGTGAATCACTGCAGTTGTTAAATTGGTGACATGGTTGTTACGTGAATCTGGCTTCCCCGTTGACTTTGTTGGCCATAAATATGAACCAGTGGCCTAGTGTTTGAATTTTGATCACATGATCAGTGGTCGTAAGTCTGAAAAACAGTTGTAAGTCACTTTTTTAGGGCTATTGTAACTTTGAATGGTCACTAAATGAACGGTTGTAAGTTAAGTGTGTTAAGTGTGTTTTGTCTCTTGCTAGAGACAAAATGGAAAACTGGAAACTGCCATTCCTTTTGATCTGACTGTTTTATTTAGTCTCATTGAGCCTTCATGAATAAGCAACAAGGCCAATTCCTGCTCTGAAGATGCATGCAAATTGTTCCTTTTTCCTCTTTTTTTAATCTGGATTGGCACCATATTGTAAGGAAATTGGGAATATTAATCCTGATCTTCCAGAGCAGGGGTCTCCAAACTTGGCAACTTTAAGACTTGTGGACTTCAACTCTCAGAATTCCTCAGCCAGCTTTGCTGGCTGAGGAATTCTGGGAGTTGAAGTCCACAAGTCTTAAAGTTGCCAAGTTTGGAGACCCCTGTTCCAGAGCAATTATACAATCTGGGGAAATATTCTGAACCAAAGTACAAAACTACCATTTTAAAAAAAATCCACTCTGACATCACAAGTCTAAAACGATCATGTCTTCTACTTTCAATTATCATCTACTCTACACTGACTTTCAATTTGAGTTAAACGTGTTTACGTGGAAATGATCCAACAAGAACATGTTTACGTTCTAATCATGTGCTTTGCAACAAGAAATACAGTTAATTTAGATTAAATGTCTGTTCCTACCAGATTTCTTGCCTGTTCCGTCCCAAAATTGTAGTTTCTGTCTCTTGTGTTATGTTTTCATGCTAGTAAAGAACAAATTTTTAGCAATTGTACTTGGCTGTAACTTCTGTCTGTAATTTAACTTGTTAGTAGAAATGCTATGCCGTGCCAAAAATATTCACATACTGCAGGTAGTTCTTGATTTATAACCACAATCGGGAACCAGAATGTTGGTTGCTAAGCAAGGTCGTTGTTAAATGAATCACGTCCAATTTTTGACTTTTTTTTTTTTTTGCTACAGTTGTTAAGTGAATTATAGGTAGTCCTTTACTTATGACCACAATTGGGATCAGAATTTCCACTGTTAAGCAAGGCAGTTAAGTGGAGTCACGGCCTATTTTATGACCTTTTCTGCTATGGTTGTTAAGCAAGTCATTGCATTTGTTAAGTCAATCATGTCAATATGAGGTGAATCTGGCTTCCACATTGACTTTGCTTGTCAGGAGGTTGCAAAAGGGGATTCTGGAACAGAGCGATGGTCATAAGTTCGAGTTACCTGCCAAGCGGCTGAATTTTGATCACATGATCATAGGGATGCTGCAAAGGTCGTTAAGTGTGAAAAACAGTCATAAGTCACTTTTTTCAGTGCCCTATTTAACTTCGAATGGTTGCTAAACGAACTGTTGTAAGTCGAGGACTACATGTATTAGCACCCATCTCGTTTCAAAGCGACTTTGGGTGGCTTACAGCATTAAAAGCATTGATGACTGTTAGAAAATGACTATTATCTAACTTGTTGGGTTGGCAATATATAAACCCTCAATATAGCTTTAAGACTGCTGTACTGCATCATACTGTGTCCTGATTGGTTAGCTCTGTAACCAATGTCCTTAAGAGGGAGCTAGAAACATGGTTTGTTTCTCTTTGCTGTTTTTGCTCTCTGATATCTCTGTATGCTACTGTTTGCAAATCCAGAAGAACTGTTTATTGTGAATGACTATGACGACTGGTAAGAAGACTTTGTTATTGGATTATCCCTGGACTGTCGTTTTGCTATCTCCTGCTTTATATTTGTATGACCTGGACTGTTTATTGGACTGTGCCTTACTATTTCCTGAAAGTAAACACAACTCTGTGTTGGCTGTGTTTATTCGTAACTACTCTCAGTTGCTTTCATGTGCACACCCTTGCTACTCAAGGGTTACTCTGCGAATTCCTTAACAATGACCTTAGTATTCTTGCTATTCTCTTAGAGAGAACATCCAGTTCTTCAAATGAAGCAGAAACTTTTGGGATTGAGATGTCCTAATCCAGATGTCTTTTTTCCAGGGGAAACCGGCATTGGCAAATCAACCCTCATGGACACGCTGTTCAACACGAAATTCGAAAGCGACGCCGCCACCCACAAGGAGCCAGGCGTGCGGTTGAAAGCAAGGAGTTATGAACTTCAGGAGAGCAACGTCCGTCTCAAGTTGACCATTGTCGATACGGTGGGATTTGGAGACCAGATCAATAAGGATGACAGGTAATGTGAAAGATGATGATGATTCATTCACAGTCGGCAAGGCCCGTTCAAACAGTTTATATTTATCAACACAGACCTTATCTCGCTTGGAAAGCTGCCAGGTAACTAGTTTCCAAACACAGTACAAGGCAAAACTTGGCACAGAGTCTCTCAGAGTCACGGAACGAACGAATTGCTTCCTGCAAAAGCCCACGCCCTGTTTGCTCCTCTTTTATTTCCTGTGGGAGGGGCCAATCTCCTCCAAGGTGTGGCTTTACTTCCAAGTCGACCCTGCTTTCTGAGTTGTTCTGGCAGCTCTGTGCATGCACACACTGGGAACAGGCTCCAGCTCTTCTTCTGCCTCACTGCTGTCTATCTCTCTCTCTGCCTCTGACGCAGAGCCCTTGTCCGAGCTTTCCCCAGCCCCCAGGATTGGCCCATATTCAGGGGTGGGTTCTACTTATCTTTACTACTGATTTGCAATGAGGTTGTGCGTCCACGTTTGCTTTGCTCACGCATGCGCAGATCACTTCTGATCACATCAGGGTCAGTGGGTGGAGCCTCCCACCGGTTTTACTACCGGTTCTATAGAATCGGTCCGAACCGGGGGCAACCCACCACTGTCCATATTCCTTCCCAACCTCCTCACTGTCCGACTGCTGCCAGCTCTACTGGCCATCGGTGGCCCACAACAGATGATGAGAATGATGGTTTCTATTCAGTCATGTCCGACACTTGGTGATTCTGTGGGCCAGGTCTCTCCACAACTTCCGATCCTGCACTACTTCTTTGACTCAAAGTTGCCTTTTCAGGAGGGACTTTCATGTTTCTTGTCTACTTCGCATCTGATTTAATCCGGGAAGGGTAAGCAGCAAGCTTTCCTTCATCTGTCAAGATCTTCTTTGTTAAAAAGGCACCCTCTGAAGGTGATATAAATAGGCAAGCTGTTATCCCAATAGGCCTTGACACAATCGAAGGCTTGTTTCAAATAAACATTAGCCAAAGCTGGCAACCATAGTTAATCTCCTATCATAGTTGCTTTAAAAAAAACAAACACCTGTGGCGTCTAAACAGCTGCTAATCAAAGATGGTGATTGAATCCTATATTTGGAAAACCTTCATAACAGTAACAGAGTTGGAAGGGACCTTGGAGGTCATCTAGTCCAACCCCCTGCTCACTCAGGAGACCTATACTAAGGATTCGAACCGCCGAACTGCCGAGCTTAGGTTGCTGAGGTTGTTGATCGAAAAGTCGGCAGTTCAGCGGTTCGAATCCCTAGTGCCGCGTAACGGGGTGAGCTCCCATGACTTGTCCCAGCTTCTGCCAACCTAGCAGTTCGAAAACACCTAAAAAATGCAAGTAGAAAAACAGGAACCATCTTGGTGGGAAGGGAACAGCGTTCCTTGTGCCTTTGGCATTTAGTCATGCTGGCCACATGACCACGGAGATGTCTTCAGACAGTGCTGGCTCTTCTGATTTGAAACGGAGATGAGCACCACCCCCTAGAGTCGGGAACGATTAGCACATATGTGCGAGGGGAACCTTTACCTTTACCTTTTAGCACAGTGTAGGTTTATTTCAGGCCTAAATAAAAATACTCATTTCAACCAATGGTGATGATTTAAAAGTTATCTTTTTGGGCATCTCTTGTAACTTTGAACAGTCGCTAAGCAATTGGTCATAAGTCAAGAACCACCTTTACCATTCTTGCATGTTTCTTCTCAAATGAGTGAGGTTTGTGGGCTGCCGAAGGAAGATTGGATGAGTTCATGTCATCCTTCTTCCATCTCTGATAGAAAGGGCCTTGTGTAAATTATGTTTAATGCAAAGTGAATAAGATTTGCAGTGCAATAGTTACCCAGCTAGATAAGCAAGCTCGTTCCATATATGGTGAGCCAAAACCATTCTTTTTTTTTTTTTAATGTTTTCGTTTGTGCAGTGACCCACAGTTTGAAATCTCTTACTTTGCTTGTCTTTATACTAGACCATTCTGGTGTAAAGAAAAAGATTATTTCCACACAAGCACACTGTGGGAAATGTGGATTTGTTTCACATGGATTTGAAAGTTTATAGCCTACCTAATACGTTGGGTGGTTGAGTTGATTTTAGCTAACAGCCGGACTATTTTAACAATTCTGACTGATTTTTCCTAAATAGGGAATAAGTCTTTCACTAGGAATTCGTGGAATGTGTGGTTTGGGGGGAAAAAAGGAAGAAATTCAAGATGCGTCATTTTAAGACCGTGGAAGCATAGAATGGGAAAGTATTGGGTGGAAGTCTCTCTCTCTCTCTCTCTCTCTCTCTCTCTCTCTCTCTCTCTCTCTGTGTGTGTGTGTGTGTGTGTGTGTGTGTGTGTGTAAAATAGCATGGGTGATCTCTAGCAGATCCTGTCTTTATTAGTTTCATTCCTCTGTGAAATTTAGCATTCTTTTCTTTTTCTGCCATCAGCTTTCCATGCTTCTCCAATACACGTATATTTTGGAATAAGGAATACTGTGTGAGCAAATCAGCTTTTTCATTATTATTATTACATTGGATACCAGATCACAACATCATCACTGGATTTCATTGGATCCTGGGTTCATACCGTATCGGCTGATGCTGTGGTCTGTTATCTAGTTGCTTTCACAAGATCCATCCAGGCCTGTGATCAGACTTTATCACAGGGTTGTCAAACTCGATTTCATTGAGGGCTGCATCAGGGTTGTGTTTGACCCTGGGGAGTGGTGGGGGGGTTCTGGGGGGCGTGGCCAGCTCGATGTCACTCGTGTTGGCCAGCCTGTAGTGGCTCGAGGGCCCTGCCAGAGAAAACAGGCTCCCGAGCTCCATTTTTGGCTGCGACGGCCTCATGCAACCCTCCGCCAGCAAAAACGGAGCTTGGGGGGGCCCCTTGTGAGCTCCGTTTTCGCTATCAGAGGCACAGCGGGTCCCCGCAGGCCAGATCTAAGCGCCCCACGGGCCCCCTGTCTTGAGTTTGACATCCCTGTTCTATTAGACTCTCTGAGACTCTGGAAAGAGTGCAGAAAGGAGCAACAAAGATGGGGGCTGAAGGCTAAAACATATGAAGAACAGTTGCAGGAATTGGGTATGTCTAGTCTTGTAAAAGAAGGACTAGGGGAGATATGACAGTAGTGTTCCAGTATTTGACGGGCTGTCACAAAGATTGGCGGGGGGGAACTATTTACCAAAGCACAAGAAGGCATGACAAGAACCAGTGGATGGAAAACTAATTAAGGAGAGAAGCAACCTAGAACAAAGGGGAAATTTCCTAACAGTGAGAATAATCAACCAGTGGAACAGTTTGCCTTCAGAAGTTGTGGGTGCTTCATCCCTGGAGGTTTTCAAGAAGAGACTGGACAGCCACTTGCCTGGAAGGACATAGGGTCTCCTGCTTATGCAGGGAGTGGAATAGATGACCTCCAAGATCCCTTCCAAATCTGTTATTCTGTGTTGTGTCACCCTTTTGTGGGAATGCCTCAAAGCACATTCTGCTACGTTTCTGTTTTGTATGTGAAATTTATTTTCTTGAGCATCTCTTCAGTTCTCTTGAAGGGAAGAATGTCTGGTCGTTTTGTCTCTGGACAAGTTCCACGGCATAATAAATAAGTCTGGTAGAGTCTGGGAAGCCAAAAGATTCTGCTTTTCAATATCAAAAGCCAAAAACAGATTTTTTTTTCGCCATGAATTCAGATGGAGTTTAAGTATCATAGGTTACTCCTTGTCTTTTCCCATGATTAATAAAACCGTAGACAATTGAACAAATTTGCAGATAAACATGAATTATTTCCTAAATTTGCATTATATATGCAAGTTATGACCCGTTTTATGACAAAAACGGGATGCACAATCACAGGATGCTTCTTTTTATAACAACATGGACACACTGTGTCATCTCCAGAGCTGTCTTGTCTTCTTGTAGAAGATGCTTATAGCGATCTTCTAAAGCAGGGTTTCTCAACCTTAGCAATTTTAAGATGCAAGGACTTCAGCTCCCAGAATCCCCCCCCCTTTTGCTGGCATGCCAAAAATTGAACCTCAAATTTTCTGTTATGGAATCTAGAAATGAATTATAACACTGTACAGAGCAAGGGTCTCCAGCCTTGGCAAGTTTAAGACTTGTGAACTTCAACTCCCAGAATTCCTCAGCCAGCTTTGGGGTCTCCAACCTTGGCAAGTTTAAGACTGTGGAGTCAGTTGCCAAGTGTCTGAATCTTGATCATGTAACCACAGAGATGCTACAGTGGTTGTAAGTGTGAAAAACGGGCAGACGTTGCTTTTTCCAATGCTTTGGTAACTTCGAATGGTCACTAAACGAACTGTTGTAAGTCGAGAACTACCTGTATCGTTGCTGCAGGAGCAAGATGAATTTGAATTGGTGAGTTGGACCTAATATCCAGAATAGGTTAAGCTCTCCAAGCCAATGAGCTGATTGAGGCTGCGGAAGATCTGACTTTGGACTGTGCATAGGGCAATGTCCGAAATTGTTGCTTATTCAGATTTGAGCATTTCTAACCACAAGATGAAGTCCAAAAAGGGACAGCCCAGTCACATAAATCTATTCTCCTATTTTATGCTGGGTCAGCTTCTGTTATAATTTCAGCTGCATCCTATAAAACCTTCCTTATCTTTAAACTTGGAATTCACTATAAGCCCTCTTCATTCCCTCAGTGTAAAGTTTCTTCCTTGTTTAATGCTGACGTGGGGGAGATTGGGAACAGCTGTCAGAAGATGCTGGCAGTTTCTTTAAAAAAAAATTCCAATGAGATGCCCTGATAAACAGACCCCGAATCAGAGCATCCTGCAGCTCATTAGGAGCTGTTTGGATACGAAGAGTTCATCCTCAGTTGAAGAGCCAGCTGTTGCAAAAATGTTTTTGAAAAAGAATAGCTCACTGGCCCCCTTAGTATACAAAGATGCTCACGAACTGTGTAGAAAGTTGTTCAGAAGCAGCACATTACTAAATGGGGGAGAGGACCAGACTGGGCCCGAGGGCGGTGGGCCCGAGGACGCCCGAGGGCGGTGTCAAACACATCATTAGTTTGGAATCTCTACACCTCCATAAGAGGCCTAAATCCAGCTCTCCTTAATGTTTAGTTTAGTTTAGTTTAATGCGATTTATATGCCGCCCTATCTCCAATGGACTCAGGGTGGCTCACAACAATAAAATGCACAATTGCACATTAAAACAATATAAAATTAAAAGTCCAAATTAAAACAATTTAAAATCTATTTAAAATCTATTAAGAAACCACCCCACCCCCCATCAGTCCAGGCTGCGAAACAGCCAGGTCTTCAAATCATGGCGGAACGAGCGAAGGTCAGGGGCCATCCGGAGCTCCAGAGGGAGGGTGCGCCCACAGAGAAAGCTCTCCCCCTGGGGGTCGTCAGCCGACATTGTCTGGCCGACGGCACCCTGAGGAGGCCCTGTCTGTGGGAAAGCACCGGGCGATTGGAGATTGTTGCTGGCTGCAGAGGGTCCGACAAATATCCCGGGCCTAAACCATGAAGGGCTTTATAGGTGATAACCAGCACCTTGAACCTCACCCGAAGGACAACGGGTAGCCAATGCAGGTCGCGCAGGAGGGGTGTAACATGGTAGTGTCGGGACACTCCCATCACAACCCGCGTGTCCTTTGACTCTTCTCCGGTTCTTATGTAGAGCTACCATGAAATAAACTGGTAGCACTGTTGAACTCTATCCTCTAATCCAGTGGTGAAATTATTATTATTTATTATTTATTAAATTTCTATACCGCCCTTCTCCCGAAGGACTCAGGGCGGTGAACAGCCAGAAGATAAAACACAGAGATACAAAAATTTAAAATAGATTAAAAGCGAATTAAATAATTTGGCTGAATTTAAAATACCCCATAATTTAAACAGATTAAAATTTGTATTTAAAATTTATATTTAAAAGGGGAGAAGATTTAGGCCAGGCCAGCTTGATGAAAGAAAAACGTTTTAATTCAGCCGGTTCTATCCGACTCGGGAGAACCGGTAGCGCCGGCGGTGGGAGACTCCGCCCACCCGCCCGGATGTCATCATATCCCGTTTTTTACCCTCCACGCATGCGCAGAAGGCTCTGCACGTGCGTGTGGGAGGTGCGCAGTCACATTTCCGAACCGGTAGCGAAGGTAAGTAAATTTCACCCCTGCTCTAATCCTTGCCTAGCACTTCCTACGCCTCGGTTCCCAAAAGGCTGCGGCCTGGCACTGGGCCATGGCTTGGAGGTTGGGTACCCCTGCTCTAGCCTATCCTGGTTCCTTTTTTTTTTAAAATTAATTAATTAATTACATTTCTTAGTGCTTAATAAATATCGTGTTGTCTGAATATTTAATTTGCTTAACAATACTAATCTTAATCGCCACCCCTTTTTTCCAAACACTGGTAGAATGAATTTCATGTTCGATAGTATTCCGCGTCTTCTTTCTGCTTAATTTTCAATGTCGATCTATCTATTTCTGCACAATCTAGTATCTTCTTAATTATCTCTTCATCTCGTGGTGTTTCTTCATTGTTCGAATGTTGTGCGGATATAATCCTCGCTGCTGTTACAACATGTAATATTAAATACCTACTTTTCTTATCTAATTTTTCTGATATTATGCCTAATAAAAACAGTTCAGGTTTAAAATGTACATGTTTCCTTATCATCTTTTCTAGCCACCTGTGTATCTTTACCCAAATTTTTTTTGTTTTTATCACAAATCCACCATATATAATAAAATGTGCCTGTCTCTTGTGAAAATATTTACAGACCCCTCACATCCTGTTACATAAACGGTTTCAACTCCTATCCTCAAAACGACGCTATAGAGCACTGCACACCAAAACAACTAGACACAAGAACAGTTTTTCCCCGAACGCCATCACTCTGCTAAACAAATAATTCCCTCAACGTTGTGAAACTATTTACTAAGTCTGCACTACTATTAATCTTCTCATCTTCTCATCACCCATCTCCTCCCACTTATGACTGTAACCTTGTTGCTGGTATCCTTACAATTTATATTGATATTGTTTCCTGATTGCTTATTTGTACCCTATGACTATCATTAAGTGTTGTTCCTTATGATTCTTGATGAACGTATCTTTTATTTTACGTACACTGAGAGCATATGCACCAAGACATGTTCCTTGTGTGTCCAATCACACTTGGCCAATAAAAAATTCTATTCTATTCTAATAAAAAATTCTATTCTATTCTAATAAAGAATTCTATTCTATTCTATTCTATTTTGATTACATTTCCAGCATTTGCTAGACATATTTTTAAACATTTTAGCTAACTTAGCAGGTGGTAAATGCCATCGATAAACATTTTATATAAATTTTTTTTGTAAGAAGTTGCCATTGTTATCTGTCCTTTTAACTCTATCTTGGTTCCTGACTTCTTGCACCTGACCATTGAGATGACATCACCTGTTGTTGAGCAACTATGATTAGCATAAATATATGTAAATATATTTAAATGCCACACGATTAGCATAATATGTAGATTGTATTTAAATGTCATTCCCATGTGGGTTGTTCGGAGTCATGAATACAAGTAATCCTCTATTTAAAACTGTAATGGAACCTGTCCATTATGGTCGTAAGTTGTGACAGTTGTAAAGTGGATTGTCACATGACCAGATCACATTTTTTACAACTTAATGGCAGTTGTTAAGCAAATGCCACAGAAGTTAAGGGAACCTATTGTTCACTAAGGGGCAGGTTTGCCAAAAATAAATGGCAGTTTACACCAAAAACATTGTAGAATTGGATATTGCAGATGACTATATATATATAGGCCAGTTGCCAATGCTGTCACATGATTGGGACAGTGGTGGCCATTGGAACTTTGGACCATATCATAAGTACCTCTGGGGAGGTCCGTCATAATTGTGAACGGTTGCTAAGTGACCAGACGTAAGTGGAGAACCAAGTGAGCAAACTGGGCCAGTTTCCTGTTCTTCTGATCTGTTTGATATAGTTATTCAAGACGGATGGGTAGCAGAGGAAGTTGAATCCAATTCAATACCTTTTATAATCCCAAATCACGGAGAATAAATAATTCTACTTTACCTTGCTGCATGGAAAGATATGTTATTTAGAAGCCTGTTAACAATGGCAATTGCTCCTGTTCTGAATGTGAATTCTTTTGTTTCAGCTACAAGCCCATTGTGGAATACATAGATGCACAATTCGAGGCCTATCTGCAGGAAGAGCTGAAAATCAAACGGTCCCTGTTTAATTATCACGACACCCGGATCCACGCTTGCTTATATTTCATTGCCCCAACTGGGCACTCGCTGAAATCCCTTGACCTGGTCACCATGAAGAAGCTTGACAGCAAGGTACTGTTCACCTGGATGAGATAAGATCTCAGTTCTTGTTTTATCATCACATAGTTAATCTAGACCAGAGGTCTCCAACCTTGGCAACTTTAAGACTTGTGGACTTCAACTCCCAGAATTCCTCAGCCGGCTGAGGAACTCTGGGAGTTGAAGTCCACAAGTCTTAAAGTTGCCAAGGTTGGAGACCCCTGGTCTAGGGAAGATCCCTTGTTTTTCCAAAATGAAGAAGGAATTTGGGAGGTGAGGCAGAGTCTGAGATTGGTTTTTTTGAGGAGGGGGTGAGCCAATGCCTCCTTAAGAGGCCAAAGGGGCATGCCCCTCTCTCAAGGTTGAACTAACCATCACTGGAAGTCACATGTCCCCCACCAGGCAGCCTTAACTATGCAGGAAAAGTATGCATCTAAGAAGCAGGGGAAGTCTTAAAGACCCTGTCCATTTTCTCAGGTTTAAACTGTTTCCAGATAACAGATTGAAACTGGGTTTGTTTATTTGCCACTCTGCAGATGCTTGTGTTCCCAAAGGTATTCTTCAAAATAAAAAATGATCCTGATAACTGGGGCTGACACTTTAATTTGCAAAAAAAAATAATTTCTGAAATATATTAAAATCCAGGTGAGGCTGAGCACCTGATAGATCTGAAGGGAAATAACCCCAACTGCAGTGTTGCTTCCTAGAGCATATTCAGAATTATAGCTAAAAAGTGCATCATGCCACTTCAATACAGGTAGTCCTCAACTTACGACAGTTCACTTAGTGACTGTTCGAAGTTATAACAGTACTGGAAAAAAAGTGACTTATGACCACGTTTCACACATATGACCATTGCAGCATCCCCATGGTCATGAATCCCACATGTGATCCCACATATGATCAAAATCCAGATGCTTGGCAACTGCTTCACACTTATGGCCGTCGTTGTGTCCCAAGGTCATGTGATCCCCTTTTGCAATATTCTGACAAGCAAAGTCAAGGGCAGGGGGTAACCAGATTCACTGAAAAAACCATGTTACTAATTTAACAACTGCAGTGATTCGCTTAACAAAAGTGGCAGGAAACGTTGAAAAAAGGGGGCAAAACTTACGTAACAAATTTCTTACTTAACATAAATTTTGGGCTCGATGGCGGTTGTAAGCTGAGGACTACCTGTATATATTATTTATTTATTTATTCGGTTTGTATAGCTGCCCATCTCAAACAAGTGACTGGGAGGCAAAACCTCCTATGTCTAATTTGGAAAAGCAACACAGATTCCAATGGAATCTTTCTGCCAAGTTGTAATGGCTTCAATTTCCCAGCAAGTATGTGTTGATTATATTTGGAAATTACTTTATGAGATAAGCAGCTTGCCAAAACTTTTTTTTAAATGGTTACTTGTTTGGATTTAGTAATTAGTTGAACAAGCTTGCACAAAATCTCAGTTGTGTCCTGGGCCCCCTCTGGAGTGGTTATAAGAAACAAAGTGGAAAATTTTCTCCTCTTGTTGACTTCTGATATACAAACACAAGGCAAGATGTGATTAGTATTTCCTATGCTTTGTGAAATAAATTTAAACTTAGCACATGAACTTCGATGCCGTGGAACAATTCTTGGAATTTACTTTCACAGCGATTCTTATCTCCTTCCTTTAAAATAGTTGCTAATAGTTTATGAGGCATATAATATTTCCTGTATAAAGCATATGCTATAGAGAGAGGAAATAGGGAATTGTGTTACTCTGCTTACTTTGTTTGCAGCTGTCTTCTATACGCATAGTCCTTGGCTTACGTCCGCAAATGAGCCCAAAATTTCTGTTGCTAAGCGAGACATTGGTTAAATGAGTCTTGCCCCCATATACCTTCTTTGCTGCTGTTGTTAAGTTAGTAATATGGTTGTTAAGTGAATCCGGCTTCCCCATTGACATTGTTTGTCACAAAAGCTGATCACGTGATCTTGGGACACAGCGACGGTCCTAAGTATGAACCAGATGCCAAGCATCTGAATTTTTATCACGTGACCATGGGGATGCTGCAACGGTCATGTCATTTCCCCCCCCCCAGAGCCGTTGTATTTTTGAATGGTCACTAAATGAACTGTTTATAAGCCGAGGACTGTCTATACTCTGAAACGCAAATTAATGGATCTGATTTTATGAATGCTGCCATTATTGGAATTTTTTTAAAGAAAAAAATGAAAAGTGTTGTTCTGAAAAGTGTTAAAAAAATTTAAAGTGTGTCTGATAGGAGGACCCTCTTCATTTTATAATGCAAATTGCATCATCCAAATTTGACAGCTTGACTATGAACTAAATAGGTAATTGAGGTGAATAAATTAAGAATGTAAGACTCTAGCCCAGGGGTGTCAAACTCAAGGCCCGGTGCTTAGATCTGGCCCACACGGCTGCCCTGGAAACAACGAAGGACTGACCCATGGTGCCTCTGCCACCGAAAACAGAGCTCCGGAGTGCCGGGTGTGGCCCTCTGGAGCTCTATTTTCACTGGCAGAGGGTTGCAGGAAGCCATCACAGCCAAAAATGGAACTTGGGAGGGCCACAGGTAGCCCTCCCAAGCTCCGTTTTTGCTGGCAGAGGGTTGCAGGAGGCCATCGCAGCCGAAAACAGAGCTCGGGAACCCATTTTCTCTGGCAGAGTGCTCAGATCACCACAGGCGCCCCTGACATGAGTGACATTGAGCTGGCCACGCCTACCCTGGCCATGCCACGCCCCCCCAAGGTCAAACACAACCCTGATGCGGCCCTCAATGAAATTGAGTTTGACACCCCTTAAGCCTTATCAGGTTAAGCCTAATATTGATTGATTGATTGATTGATTGATTCGATTTATATGCCGCCCTTCTCCAGAGACTCAGGGCGGCTTACAATGCGTTAAGCAATAGCCTTCATACATTTGTATATACCTGCTTAGTAGGGCTTTCGGGGCCCCCTAAGCGGTGTTCTTTTTTATACAAAGTCAGCTTATTGCCCCCACAAACTGGATCCAATCTAGTCCAGCCTTCTTTATTATACAACACTCAGATGGCTATAATAAAAAAACTCACAAACAGGATGGGAAAGTGTCCGTCCTTTTGACAAGCAAATTCCTGAATTAATATATCACACAACCTCTAAAATTAGTAACTTTGCTCAGTTTCTTGGCTTAGATGGGTCTAGCCCCCTACAAGGAAGATGTGAATTTTGTTCTGATATTGTTACTATCTTTTATTCCTTGTTTTTAGTATTTAGGATTGTTTTACTGGGTTTTTTTCCCTCTGTGAGTTTACTTGTGAGCCATCCAGAGGTATTAGGAGTCTGGCAGTGTCCAAATTTAATCTATCAGTTTAACCAATCAAGTGTTGATAATCCCATCCTCTATGAATTTGTCCACTTATCCACTAAAAACATCTAACACTAGTGGTCATTGCCACACCCAGTGGCAGCAAATTCCAACTAGGATATTTGATATATAAAGAAAGAAATCCTGAGTCATCCCATAATTGCTTTTGGTGCTGATCCCAAGTTTTTAATACAGCTAGAAAAAATCTTTCCTGACCAACTTTGCATGCCATGCATGATTTTAGAGTAAATATCGCTACCGTGTTTTCCTTTGCTAAAATTCTTTTTTAAGCAAGAAATCCACAAAACTCTTAATTTGGTAGCCGCTTTTTGTACTTCTTCCAGCCGTATAGCATTTTTTTTCTTGAGATCTGAAAATGGGAATTGTTCTCTGAATGCAATTGTGCCGTAGATTTATACAGAGGCATCACTGCCACTGGCAGTTTTATTTGCCTAGCGTGAAGTTTGCCCTTTTAAAATGTAGCAGTATGCCAGTTACTTCCACTCAAACGGAGACCACAACTCACAATAAAATAAGGCATGTATCTTGGGACGGTAACCTAGAGTGAAAGAGAAATTTGATTTACTAAAAGGATCTACTGTGCAGTTCAGTCAAAAGCCATCATGTAGTTTTTCGACAAATATTGGGGCACAATATTAAAGCAGGAAGATCTGGACTCCATACTAAAACAATGCATCATTAACCTGGTGATGGCTTTAAAAGGGGTATGGATGAATTCATGCATAACCATCCGTCTTGAAGACTTATTGTTACTTCTAAGTAGAGGAAATCTGTTCCCAGAACAATGGTGGGAGAAGGATATGTCTCATCTTCTTCTGATAAGGACCAAAGAGGCATCTGGTTGGACAGTGTGAGAAATAAAATGTTGGACCATGATCCAGCAAGATTGCTGTTATATTCTTATGTAACCCGTGAAGAGGCTGGACATCTTTCTATCATAGTTTAATTAAAGCATGCGTTGCTTCCAGATTTGATTGAAAGTGGGGGAAGGAGAGTTTTCAAGGCGCGTAGAGAGCCAAATTGCATGTTGTATTGCATCTCCAAATAGATGGAATCCAGCAGCTCTTTCTCAGCTGCAGGATGCCTTCGTATGCCATTATAGCTCTGTTTAGATTCATGGGTGGAAATTAAAAAGCTAAGGAAGGCTGCTGATTCAGTTCTACAGAGGAACTATTGAGACTGTCACCTGCACCTCTATAACTGTCTGGTTTGGCTCTGCAACCCAACAAGACAGACACAGACTTCAGAGGATCATTAGATCTGCAGAAAAAACCATGGCTACCAACCTGCCTTCCATTGAGCACGAGTCAAAAAGAAAATAGTGAAAATAGTTACAGACCCCTCACATCCTGGACATAAACTGTTTCAATTCCTACCTTCAAAACTATAGGGCTCTGCACACCAGAAGAACTAGACACAAGAACAGTTTTCCCCCGAACACCATCACCCTGCTAAACAAATAATTCCCTCAACACTGTCAAATAATTTACTAAGACTGTATTAATATTATTCTTCTCTTCCTTACTAGTATCTATCTCTTCCTACTTATTACTATAACTAGTACATACTAGTTATATACTAGTATATAACATACTATACAAGCAACATACTATACTATATGTTGCTTGTATCTTCCAATTACATTGTTTTTATTTGTTTCCTAGTACGATTTGATAGCTTATTAGTAACCTTGACTATCACTAAATTGTATTTTTTTATTCTCGATGAATGTGTTTTATTCTCCTTATGTACACTGAGAGCATACGCACCTAAAACAAATTCCTTGTGTGTCCAATCACACTTGGCCAATAAAGAATTCTATTCTATTCTATTCTATTCTATTCTATTCTACTCTACTCTACTCTACTCTACTCTACTCTACTCTACTCTACTCATCTAATCTATTCTATCAGTTGTCTAATATAATTTAGCATGAAGGGAGCTATCATGATTGTCTACTTCAAGTGGCCAACGTGATCCAGATAGCTTAATAAAAGTGATTATTTTCAGGGTCTCCATGAATCTTACTACAGATAGCCTTCGACTTACAAGAGCCACAGTTGTTAGAATGTAGTGTTGCAGCTAATTCTGCTGACTGCCAGCTGCCAGCAGTTTGATTTGTCACCAGCTCAAGATTGACTCAGCCTTCCATCCCCTTCTGAGGTCGGTAAAATGAAGAGCCAGATTGTTGGGGTGCAATAGCCTGACTCTGTAAACCGCTTAGAGAGGGCTGTAAAGCACTGCAAAGCGGTATATAAGTCTAAGTGCTGTTGCTATTGCTACAACAGTTCATTTAGTAACCGTTCAAAGTTACAACGGCACTGGAAAAAAGTGACTTATGACCATTTTTCACACTTACAACCATTGTAGCATCTCTGTGGTTACATGATCAAATTTCAGACACTTGGCAACTGATTCATATTTATGACGGTTGCAGTGTCCCAAGGTCATATGATCCCCTTTTGTAGCCTTCTGACAAGCAAAGTCCATGGGGAAGCCAAATTCACTTAACAACCGTGTTACTAACTTAACAACTGAAGGGATTCACTTAATAACTGTGTCAAGAAAGATCATAAAGTGAAGGAAAATTCACTTAACAAATGTTTCACTTAGCAACAGAAATTTTGGGCTCAGTTGTGGTCCTAAGTCACCTGTATTTTCTTTTGAGTTATTGCACTCCCTTGCAATTTTCTTGCATTTTGGAAACATCCAAGGACGACAAGGTAGAGAAATTGTTTTGCTTTCTCTTTTTCTTAAAAAATGTGGTCTATATCCAGGGACTCCTCGATTTATGACCAGTCGCTTAGCGACCGTACAAAGTTACAACAGATCCCCCCCAAAAGGTATTTATGACCTGCGTTTGAATTTCCAACTCCCCTCTTCTAGTTGCGGCCAGCTGATTGCATTTTGGATGCTCCACAATTAACCCACATTCACAGCTATTTGCCACGTCCTTTGGTCAACTGATCACGATTTGCAATGTGTTTTGCCGGAAACTGGTGTTTACTTCTGGTGGCCAGCAAAAAAAACGCACAGGACAATGAATTCACTTAATGACCAGTATTAAAAAAAAATGTAAAATCAGGTTGGACACGTGATGATCCACTTAATGATGGCATGACTTAATTCTGGGCTCAGGTACAGTCGTAAATTGAGGACTACCTTTATCTACGTCCTTGTATTTTTTTTACCTTCTTATTGAGCTCGCTTTTCTTTTCTCTTCTGCCATCACCAGGAACTAATGCAGTATGTTAGTTATAATAAATAAATAAAATAAATCAATAATGATCCTTTGTTTTGCAGGTGAATATTATCCCAATAATAGCCAAGGCTGACACCATTGCCAAAAACGAGTTACATAAATTCAAAAGCAAAATCATGAGCGAGTTGGTGAGCAACGGGGTCCAGATTTATCAGTTTCCAACTGACGAAGAGACGGTGGCTGAGATTAACGCTACAATGAGCGTAAGTCTTACTTACTTTTCATCTTCCAAATGCGCCTTGGGATAAATGGCTGCATTGTTATATTTTTATTTTTTTTATATACTACCGAAGCCAATACATCTTGAATTTTACACATCCTATCCGGTGGTGGGATTCAAAATTTTTTACTACCGGTTCTGTGGGTGTGGCTTGGTGGGTGTGGCATGGCTTGGTGGGCGTGGCAGGAAGGATACTGTAAAATCTCCATTTCCTCCCTACTCCAGGGGAAGGTTACTGCAAAATCTCCATTTCCTCCCGATCAGCTGGGACTCGGAGGCAGAGAATAGATGGGGACAGGGCCAGTCAGAGATGGTATTTACCGGTTCTTTGAACTACTCAAAATTTCCACTACCGGTTCTCCAGAACTGGTCAGAACCTGCTGAAACCCATCTCTGATTCTATCTGTGTGCATATGTGTGCGTGCATACCAGGGGTGTCAAACTCGAAGCCCACAAGCTGGATGTGTCATGCACTGTTCATGCCCACCCCCGATTTAGCGAAGTGGGGGAAGTTGTGATACATCACGTGATGACAACGTGTCGTCGTGAGTTTGACATGCCTGCCCTATACCATGTCAGACAAGACATCTGTAACAGCCTTTTTCATCAGTTGCTCTGAATGAGTTTGTAGCAAAGCAGCTGAAATGTATAAAAGTGAAACCTGAAGGAATAACCTGAAGTTTTTGGTTCATCTGAAAGAGATGCTTTGAAATTAGTTCAGTCCCATCATATTCACATACTTCCATGCCGTGCGGCTGGAAAGTTTATACTTTCCTAGGCAGACTTGAGAGCAGGAAAGAAAGACCACAAAAATACCAGTTGCAATCATCCCACGGATCGTGGGCCAAAGTCTTGTCACACCCATATGCCCAATTCTTAACCCAGCTTATGAAAATGGACACGGCTGCCAACTTGCTCAAAATGGAAACTGAAAACTGCAGAATGAAAACAGTACCTGGAAAACTCTCCAGAGATGAAAAGACACAAATGTTCACTTCCTCTGCCTTTGGGTCTCCACTTCAAAATGTATAATATCCCGGAAGGGGAAAGAACCCCAAATATATACTTTATGGCTTCCTTGGTGAGGCTGGAGATGTCCCTTTTTCTTTAGGCAGAGGTTCAGATGTTGTTTACTGTAAAAATTCCCAAGCCTCCAGGGTGGTTTTGAGGTTTTGGTTTGAAGCTTAAGAAATGGAGGAAATTCATTGTAGACCAGATCAGGCTTTGAGGTGCGTGTGAGAGGGAGAGAGAGAGAGAATATGAATGAATGCATGTGTGTATATTTTGAAACTGTCAGAGTTTGTTGCAAAAATCAAATCCAGAAGCACACACAGATAACTGAATCAGCTGGATTCATTAACTTCTTTATATTCATAATAACACATAACGTATATTTACAATACCAACAGTTGATTCTTCAGCTCAGATCAGCAGACATGTTCACACACACTGGTTTCACATCCCAGAGGTTAACACACACTGCTTTCAGTTTTTCTTTCTCTGCACAGAATCAGAAGCTGCAGACTAAGACACGCCCTGGCTCCAGTCTGTCTCAGCTCCAATTGGCTGACCTTGTTACCATGTCTTTCCAATCATGAATATTCTGACAGGAATTAATTGCATGTTTTTAAAAAATAAAGAAATCGGTGGCTTTGAGCCAGATCTGGTCTTCTGGGTGTTGTCACAAACCTTGCTAATTAAATTAAACCATCTTGCCAAAGAAGGCCAGAGAGGAGCTCTCATAAAGAAAAAAAAAGATTCAATGAAACCGTTTTCAGAAAACCCTCAAAATTTAATATAAAGGGACAATCAAAATGAAACGTCTTTAAAAGACAAGAGTAGTTCCCCAGCGGCAGTTCTTTTTTTAATATGCAAGTGAACAACATGTTGAGGTTGTGAGTTAAAAAATAGACAGGGTGGAGGCCAGGTGTGGTGCAGCATGCATCAATGGGAAGATCCTTACGCATTTTATTTACTTATTTGTACCGCGCCTTTATTATTTGTACAAGCAACTCGTGCAAGTGGAGTCCCACCCAGATCCCTCCCAAATTATCTGCATTAGTAATCTAAGTGGTAGTGGAATAGCAAGAGTCCTGAAGATGTGTTGGCTCCCTCTTTTCTGTAATGTTATCTTCAGATAGATAAAATACCAAACAACGAATAAATAAAAATGCAGTCTGAGCCATGCAAACGTTAACCTTTCCCTCTGACATTTGCAAGAATTCTCCAAAAGGTTTTAAATCAAATGGTCTTTGGCATTTCCAGTCATATGACATACAGACAGCAACAACTACTTCCTCCTCCTCCTCCTCCTCCTCCTCCTCCTCCTCCTCCTCCTCCTCCTCCTCCTCCTCCTCCTCCTCCTCCTTCTTCTTCTTCTTCTTCCATATCTGTCATTGGACGTTGGTGATCTTATTTTTATCAACAGCCGCACGAAAAAGTGCTGCTGGGTTTCATCCAAACAAGTCCCTTAGATTTTGAAGCCATGATGATGTTCTTCTGCCTGGACCTCGTTTGCCTTCAATCTTTCCTTCTGCAACTTATATCTGCTTACAATTTCTAGTGTTCCTGTTTTTATGGCACAGCTGTGACTTTTGACAAATACTGTGCCTGATAATAGAGTATTTATTACTGAGAAGAAGACTATTGCAGGTGCTTTTGCCTTTATCTGTTGCTCCTTCATTCTACTCCTCTCCCCCTCTCTCCCTCCCTCCCTCCCTCCCTTCCTTTTTTCCTTCCTTTTCTCATCTCTGTCTCCAAAGCACCTGAAACAGGACAAGAAGCAATGGATGGAAACTAATCAAGGAGAGAAGCAACCAAGGACTGAGGAGAAATTTCCTGACAGTTAGAACAATTAATCAGTGGAACTACTTGCCTCAAGAAGTTTTTTTTTTTATTACAAGTTTTTTTATTTTTTACACAAACACACAAGCAAACATACAATGTATTTTTTTCTGAACAGAGGTATTGGCCGGTTCACAAATTTAAACAATTTTTAATCATCTCCAACACACACTTTTTGCCATAGTGTTTATTCTCTCTAGTTTTTATAGACCAATATTCTCCTAACCTCATCTTAATAAAATTCAATTTTTCCCTTCCCATCTCTAAGTTAAACCCCTTAAATTTAAAATCTCACAACATAATATAATTCCCAATATTTCCTTGAATTCCCTTATTATAATCACAAATATTTTTCATTATCAACTGTTCCAAATAATACAATCCGACATCTTAATAAAAATCAGTTAATTATATAGCATTACAATCATTCATTTCTTTTCTATTGTTTTCTTTTTTTCCTCATATATAACAATCTTTTCTTATTAAGTAATAATAAGCCAGTCTCCAGAAGTTGTGAATGCTCCAACAATGGAAGTTTTTAAGAAGAGATTGGACAACCATTTATATGCAGCTTCCTCTGATTGCTAATCTGTGGATTCTCCCTCAAATATTGCATTGGCTAACTGGTTTGAGAACCTTGCAATGCAGACTTTTTATTACATCCTCTCTTCCTTCCTCTTTTAGTAGAGGGCTATAAAATAGGGTGGGGTGTGGGCCGGGCCAAGCGTTGACTTCCTTCAATTCACCATAACCGACTTCCTAGGAAACGTCAACAGTCAACTCGTATTATAGACTGTCAGAGTTTAAATTGAATGCACGTTCCGAAGCGTAGGAGAGCAAGCAACGAGCCCTGAATTTATTTAAAAGTGTCATTTTCGTCACCGTTCCTTTTTTTGGGGCCCAGATATTACTTGGGTTATTTTGAAGGAGAGCAGACGAAGAAGCTTTTTTTTTTTCCCCCTCTTATAAAGTTGAGTCGAAGTATTCAGTAGCCATGTTTCCCATGATAATTTATGGCTATGTGAAAGTTTCGTGGAACGAAGGATGCGTAACAAAGAAAGGTGATTTTCACAAGAAAGAAGTGACAGGATTCCTTTGGGTAGACGGAGTGTGGGAGGGTTTATGATTTACGTTATAGATCTTAATTTGGATATTCTTAGAAAAAGATGTTACTCTCGCTGTCGTTCTCTGAAGCACAGAATAATACAAAGCATCGTTTCTCACTTGTCTTGAGAATCCACTTCTTAAAAAGTGTCAGCGATCGTTTTAGACGTGCGAAGATAGCTTGAAGATGTTTGGTCGTTGCTGGTTGAAACCTTTTCAGAACATCAGGGTGTTTTTCATGCTTGTGCTTTGCTCTTCTTTGCTCCTCTGTGTGCAACTGGATCGTGGTGTGTGCTGTAATTAGCTCCCTCCAGATATTGTTGCATAATGCAATTAGGTGTTGTGACTTAGGCTTCCTGAGTCATTAAAACACACGAGTAGTCCCAAAAACCTCTTTTATTGCAACAGCTGTGAATTACGGTCATTCACAGCTGAGTCCCAATTGGTTGCAAAAAGTCCTTCGGGAGAAGTCGTTCAGGATAATCACCAACCTTTCTCTCCCTTGACATTCTGCCAAAGACCTACTTGGCAAAGCCACACCGAGTCCAGAATCAAACAGATGCCGACTGGGAACAGACTTAGCAACATTGCTTTCCGGCAAAGGGCCCACGTGCCTTTGCTCCTCTTATAAACCTTATGGGAGGGGCCAATCATCTCCAGGCCTTACTCCCGAGTCGTCCCTTTAGTTTTAACTGTTCTTGCCTTCTGGCAGCTCTGCGCACGTGCACACTAGGAACAGGCTCCTCCTGTTCCTCTGCCTCTCTGATATCCGACTCTGGAGGCTCCAGTGTCTACGCATAACTCCCAGATGGCCCTGGCCCCATCTCTGCCTCCGACGCAGAGCCCTCATCTGGACCTTCCCCAGACTCTAGGACTGACCCATGTTCCTCCCCAGCCTCCTCACTGTTCAACTCCGCTGCCAGCTGTGCAGGCTGCTGGTGGACCACAACATTAGGGTTGTAATGAACTCCGGAGAAGAAGTTGTTTTGATGTCAAACCTGCTGTCACTGATACACACCCCCTTCAAAGACTACAGCTGTATTCCAGAGATGCTTTAATCCCACCCCCACCCCCCCCCCCCAAAAAAAACCAGCACAGTGTCCTGAATGTTGCCTTTTTCTCCACCCGGCTCTTTCTTAAAGGAAACTGTTTTTGGCAGGAGAACACAAAGCCACCATGTTTGTTCTGGGTGGTGTGCAAAACATCGAATGACTTCAAATTCAAAACGCCACACTTTCAAGTCTGAGCCCATTCATCAGGTTGCAGAATGCCCCCTTTCATTTCCAAAATAATAATAAACAGCTGCCTCAAACATGGGACTGCTACTTTGAACCTTTAAAACAAATGTTTTGAAATAAAAGTGAGATTTTTCTACCAAATAACAGAGTCGAAAAGGCCTTGGGGGTAGAATAGGAATAGGGATAGAATAGAATAGGAATAGGAATAGGAATAGGAATAGGAATGGAATAGAATAGAATAGAATAGAATAGAATAGAATAGAATAGAATAGAGAATAGAATAGAATAGAATAAATAGAATAGAATAGAATAGAATAGAATAGAATAGAATAGAATAGAAGAGTTGGAAGGGACCTTGGAGGTCTTCTAGTCCAACCTCCTGCTTAGGCAGGAAACCCTACACCACTTCAGACAAATGGTTATCCAATCTCTTCTTAAAAACTTCCAGGGTTGGAGCATTCACAACTTCTGGAGGCAAGGTGTTCCTCTGATTCATTGTTCTAACTGTCAGGAAGTTAGTTCTCCAAGTTGCTTCTCTCCTTGATTAGATTCCACTCGTTGCTTCTTGTCCTGGCTTCAGGTGCTTTGGAGAATAGTTTGACTCCACCTCTTTGTGGCAGCACCTTCTAGTCCAACCTCCTGCTCAACTAGGAGAGGCCTTATGCCATTTCAGACAAATGGCTGTCTAATCTCTTCTTTAAAACTTCCAGTGATGACCCAGCTATTAAGAATGTCTGCCCCTGACAAATAACTTTGGGTTGTCCTATACCCACTTTAACCGGGGGGAGCGTGATGGCTCAGTGGTTAAAGACGCTGAGCTTCTCAGTTGGAAAGCTGACACTGCACGATGGGATGAGCTCCTGTTACTTGCCCCAGCTCCTGCCCACCTAGCAGTTCAAAAGTATGCAAATGCGAGTAGATAAATAGGTACCACTTTGGTGGGAAGGTAACAGCATTCCATGTGCTTTAGTGTTTGTCATGCTGGCCACATGACCACAGAAATATCTTCAGACAATGTTGGCTCCCTTGGTTAAGAATTGGAGATAAGCACTGTCCTCTATCATTTCACCTGGATTTAGAAAGTCTCTAAAGGTCCAAAGCCAGTGGTGGTATTCCGCGGGTTCGGGCCGGTTTGAGAGAACCAGTAGTTAAATTGCTGGTTGGCTCTGCCCTTTCCTGCCCTGCCCCTTCCAGGAGTCCCCACGTGCCCCATTTTGGCTCCCAGGTAAGTGTAGGGAGGCCTCCTAGGCCCAAAACAGGCCATGGGGGTGGGGGGGAATGCGGCTCTCCCCCCATGGCCCATTTTTGCTCCCAGGGCGGTGAAGGGGACTGAGTGCTGCCTGGCCACGCCCACCATGGCCACGCCCAACCAACCAGTCATTAGGACAGAGAACCAGTTGTTAAATTATTTGAATCCTACCACTGTCCAATATTAATGTTTGGATGCAGGAGTGGGCCAACGGCAGAAAGGAGACTAAATCTTGGGATAGTGTTTCATTGGAAGCGTTTCCTGGTGAAGGAAATAAGTAGCTTGGCTCTTCAGAGCTGAGTTGGGCTCTTTCTGATGGATAAGTGACATCGGTCAAGAGTGGCACAGAACTTGTCACTCCAGGCCCAGGTGATCAGTCGGAGCAATGAGGGCACCTTTTGTAATCCCTGTGGGGCCCTTGGTGCGCTCCGAACTTGGTTATTTTCTTGCAAACATTTCATCGCCAAACTAGGTAACATTATCAGGGCCAGAAGGGAGTGGGGTTTGCTCTAATTCAGGCTGGTTTTGGGGAAATACCTGACCTGTCTTATGTCAACCTAATTGCAGGTCCATCTCCCATTTGCCGTGGTTGGCAGCACTGAAGAAGTGAAGATTGGCAATAAAATGGCCAAAGCTAGACAATATCCATGGGGAGTGGTCCAAGGTATGTTGATGGGGACAGATAAATCTTTGTACGTTTTATACCAATGGTACAAAAAAAAATTTAAACTAGGGTGGGCAGGTGGCAGCTATCCAAGTTTTCTTAAATCAGCAGGAAAGCAAAACAACAGACGTGAAGTTTGTGACTGAGATCTGGAGAATTGCATCGGATGCACGCCAAGAAAATGTGTCCTTTTAGATTTCAGCACGTGGGGTTTCTAATTTGTAAATTTAAAGATTGTAATTAGACTAATTTGCCTTTATTGCTAATAAAAGAGCTACTAATTTTAGATGAATATAAATTTAGCACATTGATCACAATGGACACAAATATAGTAAATATATTTCTGAATCACAGAGGAGATTGAGCAATCGATCTAACTCATTATGAATTCTCAGAAGTCAACTCAATATCTGTAAAGCAAAAGGACTTTTCCACCTCCAGAACTGTTGATTCCTGGAATAATGGAAATCAAATAATATAAGCTCTTAGAAAAATCTTTTGGAGATATAATTATGGAGATATCATCACCTTTTAATGACCCCATAATCCCATGTGGGATAGAGTCTGGGCTGAATGGAGCTGAGTGTTTACTGGCCAGATGCCCTTCCTGTCGCCAATGCGGAGTTTTATTCAGTAGATATATTCTCATTGTGCCCAGAGAGAAATGTCTGCCTCTACCTAGGATCGAACCCATAGCCTCCTGATTGTGAGGCAAGAGCTCCACCTCTAGGCCACTGCACCACTCATATAATTATGGAGATATAATGACAATAAATCCTGGTTTTGATTTTTTTTAATGAAAAATAGGTTTTTGTGTTAAGAAAAAAAAAGGGAAAATCGGGTTTCCGCCATATCCTTGACCTACATTTCCACATTTTTATGATTTTTTTTTTAAATAGTTGAAAATGAAAACCACTGTGATTTTGTAAAGTTACGCGAAATGCTGATCAGAGTGAACATGGAAGACTTGAGGGAGCAGACTCACAGCCGACATTACGAGCTCTACCGCCGGTGCAAACTGGAAGAGATGGGATTCAAAGACACAGATCCCGACAGCAAACCGTTCAGGTAGGTAAGGAGCAGGTGAGCTCCCAAACTAACTCCGGAGCAAGTACTTACTGGGTAAAGAGAAGGGAGTGAGGAGGTGGGGGGGGGAAGGAAGCAAGTAAGGAATTATGGCTGTCAGAGATGAATATCCATATAAAATATAGTCTACCATCTACTTGAACAAGATGCTTTATTGGTTTGCTCTATTAAAACAAAACCTGGGTAATTTTGCCAAGTGACAGATGATTCTGAATTCCCTTTCACCACCTACGTTGTCTTATTTTCTTTCTCCTCAACCATGTGGTGAAGCAATTCCTCATTACAGCTTGCCAAGTCCTATTTAATGGCTCTGGTCTGGAGCCAAACCCTGGTTCCTGTTTCACTGCCACTGTATCAGCCCATGTTTAATCAGATTCTTATGAGCATGTTCCCCCACCCCCACCCCACCCGAACTGTTCCCACACAATAAATGATGTAATGTTGTTTAATTGGGCAAAGGAATATCTATCTATACCAGGGGTCTCCAATCTTGGCAACTTTTAAGACTTGTGGACTCCAACTCCCAGAATTCCTCAGCCAGCATGTCCACAAGTCTTTAAAGTTGCCAGATTTGGAGACCCCTGAAATAAATAAATCCACCACATAGGCAGCATGGGTGTCTGTGGTAGGACAGGACCCAATTTGCATTGTTTAAACCAGTGTTTCTCAACCTTGAGAGCTTTTAAGGTGTGTGGACTTCGACTCCCAGAATTCCCTAGCCAGCATGAGGAATTCTAGGAGTTGAAGTCCACATGCGTTAAAGTTCTCAATGGTGAAGAAACACTGGTTTAAACCAGGGGTCTCCAACCTTGGCAACTTTAAGCCTGGCGGACTTCAACTCCCAGAATTCCCTAGCCAGCCAGCTGTGGTTGAAGTCCACAAGTCTTAAAGTTGCCAAGATTGGAGACCTCTGAACTATACCATTCCCTTGGATTCAATTGTGGCATACAGCACCAGGTACAACAGCATGATTCCAATCAGACGTATGAAACATAGTGTTTCATATTTTTCCAATTATTCAGATAATTGGGTATCTTCGGATAAAAATTCCTTATTCCCCTGAATTGGCTATGTCTATGTCGCTGCGCAAAATGATAACAGGATCACGGAAAGGAAAGTGGTTTTTTTTTTTTTTTTAATTTGATTTATATGCCGCCCTTCTCCGGAGATTCAGGGCGGCTTACAATGTGCTCAGCAATAGCCTTCATCCTTTTGTATATTTTATACAAATGCCCCCACAAACTGGGTCCTCAATTTACCTACCTTAGAAAGGATGGAAGGCTGAGTCAACCTTGAGCCTTGGCGAGATTCAAACCTGCAGTAATTGCAGGCAGCTGGTCTTAATAACTGCCTAATAATTTAAGCCAACAGATCAAGATTTATGCTTCCAGGACTGGAATTCAAATTATTCCAATTAAAAGAGGAAGCAACTCTTTTAACAGCTACTGTACTTATTTAGAAGAATAAATCCGGAGGTATCCACAAATTAAACTAGTTACCCAAATGGCAAGTGGGTCAGGTGAAGATCATTGGCATCCTTCAGTCTCAAAAGACTATGGTATCATGCCCTGGAAAGAGGTCCTAAAACAGCATCTGGTGTGACTAAACAGGCCAATTCGAGAGCGGCAATCCCTTCCACACCGAGGGCAGACACATTCTGTCCCCTGCCCAGCCCCCGGATTTCACTGGTTCCGGGACTGCCTCTTTTCCTCGGTCTGCCGAACAAGTGTCTCTTCGAATTGGAGAAGGCCATGCTGCGTCTTTAGCCTCCAAGCTGAACGATCGGAGGTCAAGGTTTCCCAGTTGTTAATGTCTATTCCCAGGGCCTTTAGGTTCCTCTTGCAGATATCCTTATATCGCAGCTGTGGTCTCCCTCTGAGGCGCTTTCCTTGCACTAATTCTCCATACAGGAGATCTTTCGGAATGCGACCAGGTGAAGGTGGAGATAAAAGATAGAAATTCACAAGTATTATTTTTATTTAATTTTAAATAAAAATTAAACATCATATAATCTGAGTTCATCGCCCTCCCTTCCTCTCCACCAGGTTTTTAAGGAAAAGGTTAGGATCGCCAAATACCGCTTTTATTTGAATTAAAAACAAGTTGATTTCAGTCGTGGTTTGTCTTCGGAAAAACAGCTTTTTCATGCCAAGAGTTAAATTTGGCTTCTAAATAGCATGTTGAGAGATGCCTTCCAGTTAAGAGAACAAGGCCAGGACAAAAGTTTATTTTTTTTTAAAAAATACAATTCGTATATTAACTAGTTTATTATTTTTCCCTTCCTGCCACATTAACAATCACTGCGACCTTTGGAGGAATTTCTGAAGGCACGCATGCAGATTGTAGGTTTATCGAAATAAACCAAGGTGATAAATTAGAGATTTAAGTTCTCTGTGCTGCTAATCTAGTATCACATAAACTAGTTTGGTGTAGTAGTTAAGACACCAGGCTAGAAACTGGGATACGGTGAGTTCTAGTCCTGCCTTAGGCATGAAACCCAGCTGGGTGACTTTGGGCCAATCACCAGGAGACTGTGAGTTTTGTCCCGCCTTAGGCATGGAATCCAGCTGGGTGACTTTGGGCCAATCACCAGGAGACTGTGAGTTTTGTCCCGCCTTAGGCATGGAATCCAGCTGGGTGACTGGGCCAATCACCAGGAGACTGTGAGTTCTAGTCCTGCCTTAGGCATGAAACCCAGCTGGATGACTTTGGCCCAGACCCCCTCTCTCAGCCCAGCCCACCTCACAGGGTTGTTGTTGGTTGTTGTTGTGGAGAAAATAGGTTTGTTCGCTGCTTGGAGTTATTTATGAAATTAATATCTATAAAAATAGTAAAAGAGATTTTAAAGAATCTTTAAAAAATTTAACATGGATAGAGTTCAACTTATGACTAGTTGCTTAGCAACTATTTGAAGTTCTGAGAGACCCTACCTGGGGGGCGGGGGAAAGAGGTTATTTTTGATCTGAATTTGAAGTTCCAACGGTCCGTGCCCTTCCCCCCATGGTCACACGTTGGGTGCTCAACTGCCCACAGTGAATCATTGGTTCGGTTAATAACTGCAGTGTTCATTTAACAACTGAAACAGCCCCTGTAGCAACCACCATATTTGCTCAATAACTGCTGCAAAAAAATGCTGTAAAATTGGGTATGTCATGTGACCGACCTGCTTTACAACCATCACGAGTTACGACCTTTATGGGCAGGCTGCATTATACCCTGTTTCCCTGAAAATAAGACATCCCCTGATAATAAGCCCAATCAGGCTTTTGAGCGCATGCACTAAAATAAGTCCCTCACACCCCCGAAAATAAGCCCTCCCTGAAAATATTTAAATGCATGTCCAGCCGGTCCCCGCCATTTCCTTTGGCTGGGGTTAGGGAGACAGAGCTGGAAATCAGGTAAGACAGCAAGAGGAGCCCCGTCTTGCTCCACACACCCCAAAATAATAAGACCTCCTCGAAAATAATGCCAAGCGTTTATTTCGGGGTTCAAAAAAATATAAGACATTTTCTTATATTTTTGAAATCTTATTTTTGAAGAAACATGGTAGTTGTAGCTTGAAGACTGCCTATACTTCAATTCCCCACCCCCATGACTATCTCGAACAGAGAACAAAAGGCTTACTGTGTTCCTCTTCTGTTCATAGAAATTTTATTTATTTATAAATAAATATCATTTATCTCTCTATTGTCTCTATCATTTTAGAGACTTTCATAAGAATTCCTTCTGGTGTTAAAGGTTAGTCTTTTTTTTTCTTCCTTACTTCCCTCTTCTTCTCATCATTTCCAACCATTCTCTTTGGGGGTCGTTGTGTTGGAAACAAGCCTGCAAGAAACCTACGAAGCCAAGAGAAATGAATTTCTGGGTGAACTACAGAAGAAAGAAGAAGAAATGAGGCAGATGTTTGTCATGAGAGTGAAGGAGAAGGAAGCGGAGCTGAAGGAAGCAGAAAAAGATGTAAGTAGAATCCAGAGAGGAAAAAGGAAACGAAGGCCAGATTTTAGGTGGTTGCTGAACCTCAACCAACTGGCCTTCACTCCTTTTTTTTTTTTTTTTTGCTCTCCAACACAGGTGGAGGAAAAAAACAAAACCTATTGTTGAAATTTTTTTCCTAAACCAGATAGATCCAAAGAGAAGAACATAAAGTGATTTGAAAAGCATAAGCTGTGGTTGTGATCTGCATTTCAACATCTACATTCTTTGTGATTTTTGGATAAACCAGTATCCACAAAATAATCTCTTGTTAGATGTATCTTTTCTCCCAAAAAGTGGAGAAAGATCTGGTATGAGACAAAGTGAAGTAAGCTGAAGATAATACTTTTATTGATCAGGCAAACCTGGATCAAATCTATTTATAGTTCTTCAATTACATGGTGCTCAAAACGTTATGTATTCTGTTGCCCTCTGACCTTGAAGAGGGCAGCAGAATATTTACCTTATATTCTAGAATATTAGAATAGAATAGAGCTGGAAGGGACCTTGGAGGTCTTCTAGTCCAGCCCCCTGCTCAAGCAGGAGAACCTATAGAATCTCAGACAAGTGACTATCTAGTCTCTTCTTTAAAACCTCCAGTGATGGTGCGCCCACGATTTCTGAAGGCAAGCTGTTCCACTGGTTAATTGTCCTTACTGTTAGGAAGTTTCTCCTTGATTACAGTGGACCGGTTCTAGCGAACCAGTAGTTCCGACCATCAGCTGGGCCCGTCCACTTGCTCCCGCCCTATCCTGTCCTATATTTCCTTCTTTCTGGCTCAGCTGATTTGTGCAGCACAGCTGATTTCCATGCCTCCGCTGTTCTACTTACGGGGCTTCCTTAGAAGATAAGTAGCCGAGCTTCAAATTGCTGTACTTTGAACGCTGTGCGCAAGCGTGTTAGGCGCGCCCACACTCTCACAGAACCAGTTATTAAACTGGTTGCAACCCACCACTGCTTACCATGGCTAATACAGGTAGTGGTATATAAGGCCAAGTGCTATTAATATGGCTAGTCCTTGACTTACAACCGGTCATGACCATTCAAAGTTACAAGGGCACTGAAAAAGTGACATGATCATTTTTCACACTTACGACTGTTGCAGTATCCCTGTGGTCACACGATTGAAATTCAGACGCTTATATTTATGACAGTTGCAGTGTCCCGGGTCATGTGATCCTCTTTTGCGACCTTCTGACAAAAAATGTCAAGTGGGGAAGCCAGATTCACGTAACTACTTACTAATTTAACAGTTGCAGAGATTCACTCAACAACTGTGGCAAGAAAGATTGTAAAATGAGGCAAAGCGCCATTGGGCTCAATCGTGTTGTAAGTCAAAGACTACCACTGTCAGGGCTCCAACGAATGCCCTGATTAACTCATGAGCCTCGAGCCAAGTTTCAAAAGAAATCCAGTTATTTATTAGGTGCAACATGTCGGCAGCTTCCCAAGTGCAGTCAACTCTGCTGCAGGTAATTTACGGCTCAACTATGACCCTGTTTCCCCCCCTCCTCTCAGGCTGTGTCATAAATCACATTCTCCAATGAGGCACTTTCATGGGCTGTAGAAACCACACCTCACAAACTGGCTCTGGTAATCTGAGATCCAACCTTGGAATTGCGTGGAATGTACTTGTGAACGTAGCTGCTGAACTGCTCTGACAGATCCTCCTCTCTTTCTGCCCATGACAACTTGAGAGCAGACTAGAAATGCTTTGCGAGTTGACAACCTGTATATATTGACTGACTTCCCACCTGAGGTCCTGAATTACCCAGTACAAGCCATTATGGCCCTCTCTCCCCTACTCTCGATTTTCCGTTATTATTTCCTTTGTCCGGTGACCGTCCTATCTTTCTCTCTTTCGCCTTTTCCCTCTGAGCAGCTTCATGAGAAGTTTGACCATCTAAAGCGGACTCACCAAGAGGAGAAGAAGAAAGTAGAAGACAAGAAGAAGGAACTTGAGGAGGAGCTGAACAACTTCCAAAAAAAGAAAGCAGCAGCTCAGCTATTACAATCACAGGCCCAACAGGCTGGCTCTCAACCCACCAAGAAAGACAAAGACAAGAAAAAGTAAGCCGTTATCCAAGGTTGAGCTCTGTGGGCATCTGTTCCAGTGTGCTATCTTCTGTTGCATGTCTGTATTTGCTTCTTCCCATTTATCAGACTGGAAACTGGGCTCCCCCCACTTCTAAACCCAGACTGAATATTTTTTTTTTTTTGAAACACTATTTTTCCAAGAGAAAAGAGGGATGGGGATGGGAGGGCGGTAGGGCTTCGACTTTATTTTTTTATACCTGAAATATTTTTTGACTTTTTTTTTTTTTTTCAACGAGATGGGGAAGCAGAGAGACCAAAAGCCAAGCCACGAAATTGGCTTTAATATACTGTACTCACCGATTTTTGATAACTGACGCAACACCCAGGAGCTGTTAAAATTCTCAACTGTCTTCTCTGGTAAAGTTCTTAAAAGCGTTTGCTAATTGTGTAGAATCCAAAGCCAGGAGAGGTTGGTGCAGGTGTGACATCATCTTGGATGTGGTAACTAGGGTGAAGGGTTTCATTTTTGGACCTTGGGAAGAATTGAGAATTACCCAGGTTTACTTTATCAACAGTTGAGGAAGAGAAAATTAATAGCTGGGGAGGGAGGAGGGAGGGAAGGAAGGAAGAAAAGTGTGAACCTGCGGTCCAATCTCTTAATTTTATCTAATTATGGATTTTCTTGTGCCAAAGATCTGAAAAAGCTAGGAACACTATTCGTAATATTGCCGCCTACATTCTGAACTCTCTGTAGGGTGTTAATTAAATAACGAAGCACAACATTAGGGAACAGCACATTAATCCTGTTAGATGGGCTGCCATTGCACAGTGATTTGGGGAGGGGAAGGTAATTTGAGGCCTTGGTGATGTGAGAGGGATCCAAGTATTTGCAGTGGAAGTGGAACAAAATTTGGCGAGCGGAATCAGAGTGCCATACGTAGAACATGGGTGGATCTTGTAAAATTGGCTGTATAAGGTTCATGATGCCTTTCTCTTGAATAGAAGCCTGTTTGAAGCGCTGATGCGAGGTTCATTTCAAAGGAAGATGGAGTAGAGCGTAACTGACCTGGCTTTGCACAGATAACAGCACACTCCCTCTGCATTTTCAGTGCTTTGTCTCCTTCTGGTGGCCAGCTGGGCTTCATTTAGATTCTTCATACAGCCTTCTCCAGATTCTAGATCAGGGGTGTCAAACTCAATTTCATTGAGGGCCACATCAGGGTTGTGTTTGATCTCGGGGTGTGGGGTGGAGTGGGTATCGCCAGGGTGGGTATGGCCAGCTCGACGTCACTCGTGTCGGGGGCGCTATGGTGGCCCGAGCGCTCTGCCAGCAAAAATGGGCTCCCAAACTCCATTTTCGGCTGTGACAACCTCCTGCAACCCTCTACCAGTGAAAATGAAGCTCAGGAAGGCCACCACAAGCTCCGTTTTAGGTTGCGACAGTTTCCTGCAACCCTCCACCCGCAGCCTTCCCGAGCTCTGTTTTCACTGGGAGAGGCACCACAGGCCAGTCCTTCGCTGTTTCCAGAACGGCTCCGCGGGCCAGAACTAAGCACCCCACAGACCAGATCTGGCCCCCGGGCCTTGAGTTTGACATCCCTGTTCTAGATCAATGTTTCTCATCCTGGGCAACTTGAAGATGTGTGGGCTTTGACTACCAGAATTCCTCCGCCAGCATGCTGGCTAGGGAATTTTGGGAGCTGAACTCCACTCATCTTCAATTTGCCAAGATTGAAAAACACCGAACTAGCTATCTCTATGGATCAACTCTCAGAATTTTTCGCAGTGAACATGTTGGCTGAGAATTGATATCAAGGCGTAATATTCCATGCAGGCATAATTAGAGGGGTTGAAAAAATCAACGATTTTGTGCCATGGACATTGAGCAACCTAACGTGTCCCAAACAATGCGCTTTTTAAGACACTTTCCTCTTTACATTGGTGCTCCTGAAAGTCACAAAAAGAACTGAAAAAAAAAATGCCAATCGTAAATCTGCTCCTAATCATGTTTTGAATCGGTTAATGGTTTTGAAGGGCGAGAGCATTAAGTGATGTATAAATAGCACCAATAAATACATATGTATGTAACTGTACACAGAACCTTTATAAAGTGTGGCTATGAGCATGACTTGAAGGAGCAATCTAATGTTCTTGAGATGTCATCTGAAAGAAGATATCTCCTTTACCGCAAGTGGCTTTTCTGAGTTGAGTAGGCATAATGGTTAGTTAACAACCCATAATAGCTGAGTTTACCAACCAGGGTTCACATTCATTGCCTACTGTGCCAATGTTGGGGTCCATGGGTGCCCACAGAATGGTAATGAAAGTCAAAACGGCAAGCATAACATTGCAAGCAAAGCTCCAGCTTTTTTTGTAGATCTTCACCTGAAAAACAGACAGGGCATTGAACATTGATCGTTGTGGCTGCCATCTTGACTTTATGTCCCTCTGGACATTCCTCTTAGTAGCCATAAGAATATTTGGATCAGAAGATTGTTAGCTGCCTAGTTTCCAACTTAACGTTAGTCATCCGAAAAGCATTTTCGTATCCATTCCATTCTTTTCTCTTTAAGAGTCCCAAACATGGATTAAATTTTCTTCCTACCATAAGTAGAATGTAAAATTAGGTACTATCTTAACATCTAGAAATTTTCCTAGGGCAATTATAAATGTTTGTGACTAAATAACATTTTTTTTAAAAAAAAATGTATAATACTTCTTTGTATGGATATATAAAGGGAGTCAGAGAATTGTTTTGCCAAATACTTTTGAAGTACAAAAGACGCTAGCTAATTTGTGACATTTCTATAAAATGTAAATAACTTCCAAGGTAATATAATACTTCCTCCATTTGTTGATTTAGATTCCCTGGAAGCTTATTCTCCCAAAAAGTGCATGGTATTTAACAAGACATGATGCTTTGTTTTTGCTGTGGCAGACTGCTCTCTGCTGCTAAGGAGCCTTCAAAATTGCAAAATTGTACAAGGAGCAAAACGAAATTTGTAGCATCTGTGATTCAGCTCTGTTTTCCTAAGGAGCAGCGATGAACGTGTAGACGTGAACGTTAACCATTTTTTAAATGAAGGATTCTATTTTTGATAACGGCTGCATGCCAATGGCCGTGTGCAAACGTATGCACACTCGAGCAGTGTGCAGAAATGGGTGTGAAGTTCTATCTTTGTAGATTATGATTGTGTTCAAATGAAGGATTCTTTGATGGCACTGTTTCGCAAGGAAGAAGCTGTGCATGCGTGTGTGTATGTACACAGACCGTGGTGTGCAAAAAAAAACAAAAAAAAAACCCTTTTGAATTGCCACACCACTGGTTATGGACCGAACAAGGGCTGGAAAACTTCCAGTTGAGGTCAGAATAATTGATATAAACATTATCTCTGATTCACATCGATTATGTTTTTGGTTGATGTATTTATGGGGAAATCCCAGGTTCAGTCCTATTTGCAAATAAAAAATTTAACGCAGGAGATTGTTTCTGCCTGAAAATCATTGCCACCATATTGCATGATTTCAGCCTACACTCAGATGTGTTATGCTTGCAACTTCTAGACTTCCCAGACATTTTGAGCAACATCTATGGTGGGTGACAATATCTTTCATTTCCCGCACATCTGGAGAATGATGTCAAGGAAACGGCAGTAGCTCATTTCAACATGGACCCTTTTAGTCTTGTTCTCAATGCCATCTCTCTTTTTTCCCCCCCTCTATTGCAAACAGTGTGCAGACAGTCCATCCAGAAACTCTGTTTGCAGAACCCACTGAAACAAATGGAAGGGCCTGAGAAACTCTAACATCCATTCTGTTCACTGAGACTGATGAAGGAGAATCACTCGATAGATTAAAACTGAAGTCTTGAAAGAGTGTTAGCATTCCAGCAGTGTTCCGGTTCTTAAAATTGGAGGATTTGCACCACCTGGATATTGTTTTCTAGGATTTGGAGAGTCATCGTAGCTCTTCACTAAGACTTGAGCATGAAGTTTGTCTCCTTGTGGCTTCATACTTGAATTCTTGGTAATATTATGAAAGTGGTTTCCACTACCTTCTTTTAACACATTATTTTGACTTCTCATTCTAACCAACTTCCCTGAAATTCTATTGACAGTCTCTCATCTAAGGACAAGCCAGGCTGAAGTTTATAAGGGACAAATATTCTGTAAGCTCAAAGCCACCTCCCTACAGTCACATCTCATCTTCCAGAGCTGAAAACAGCCAGTGAAATATTTCTGTGGTTCCTTTATAACTCAGATCAAGCTGAGTGTTCCATAACTTGTTTTCTATACAAGATTGTTACTACAGATATCAAAGCAAACCCTTTCTTCTCTTGTAATTTCCCACATCTCGCTAGCTGACACAGTCTTGGTGATCCTGCAAGTTCATTGGAAGTTCATTTACACACGTGATACTCCACAATAGCGTCTTTTCAAATAGCACCATCTCTTTCTTTCAAAAGAAGAAATAATTTGTTTTGATCCTAGTCTAGATCTGCATTGCCATGTCCTTGTTTGACTGTGCACTGAAAACACATCATTGTTTGATGCAGTTGTGAAGGATTCTATCAGGGTTCAGTCCAGTTTGCAAATAAAACGAATAACGTTTTGAGCTTGAAACTCTTTAACTGAACACTTTGTCATAGATCATGAAGAGGTTTCTCTTTGGAGAATGCAAACACTTCTTAAAGTACCTCAAGAGAACATTTATGTCAATTAATTGTGTGTTCGTTCATGACTCCTCTTCTTGTGGAATCTAGTTTTTCAAACAATTTGGTTCTTCTACAGAGAAAAGTGTTCTGAAACCTGGGTTGGGAAAGACCAGGAACTTTTGAAAATAATTCTGACACTTCCACTTGAGCTGCAGTCCTACCCAGGGACACAGTCCTGTACTGCAGCTAGAAAGTGGAAGTCACCAGAGCAAATAATTGTATTATTATACCTCATTGTAAGATATTTTTTTTCCTGCAACAATAAGAGGTATAGTTTTTAAAAACAAAATGGAAGTCCTTTAGACTTCTTGCAAGTCCATAAAACCCTAATTGCAAGTACAATTTCTTTTGTATTCATGGAGTTCCCCCCTGTGGTTATAATCTCGCATTGCAGTTTATAAATGGAGGGAGCAGTTCACACGTACAACTTGATTTGTGTGGGCCATTTTCAATACACTTACATTTGTTTCTGTGCTGATATAAGCATCCTGCTAAGCAGCAGTTTAAAACCTCTTCTTTACATGGGCATCTAAACGGGCATCATTGTTAGGTCCAGCGCAGAATGGCAGGTAGCTACGCTTAACTCAGATTTCCACAATCCATGGCTAGAATAGGACCACTATTGGATTTTAGCTATTCATAACACACTTGTGCAACACAAAAGGGGGTGCGATGGCTCAGTGGTTAAAGAGCCCAAGTTTGAGTGCCGCGCAAAAGGGTAAGCTCCCTGCTCCAGCTCCTGCCAACCTAGCAATTCAAAAGCATACAAATGCGATAAATAGATACCAATTTGGTGGGAAGGTAATAGTGTTCCAGGCACCTTTGGTGTATAACCATGCTGGCCATATGACCATGGACAATGTCATTGGACAATGCTGGTTCCCTTGATCAAGAAACAGAGATGAGCACGCACGCCTCAAATGCAATGCATATGCACCCCCTGCACATATCACCACCACCCCGTGCATGGGCACGCGTCCCTGCACACGCCCCACCCCCCACGCATGCGCGGCAGAGACCCGAAGACCAGCTGGCCAGCAGGAGGTGTGCACGCATGCACAGCAGAGCTGAACTGGGATGACGGCTCGTGTGCCATCAGAGATGGTGCTGCATGCCACCTTTGGCATGCGTGCCATAGGTTCACCATCGCGGCCCTAGAGAGACACACACAACTAGAGAGGGAAACCTTCGCTTTTTGTGCAACACAGGATCTTTATGGTGTATCCCTAATGCAAAGATCAATGCTTTTGGTGTCAAGAAACAGTTCTGCTTCAGCGTAAGAGTCTAAAATGCCAAATGCAAGGTGCTAACAAAAAAAAAAATTTTTTTTTATCATCTCAGTTGAATTGCTTGCTAATTCCTACAAAAAATTTCTTTCTGGCAAGCTGCCTTTTCAAAAAAGAACTGGTGCTCTATATCAGAGGCTAAGGGATACCTTTCAATCTAACATTTGCTGTAGGATGCTTTAAGTAGGAAACAGAGGAAAGATTTGCTTGTGGCAGCTGACAGTAGTGGCCAAAATTGTGGAAACCTTTTGGGAAAAGTGTGTTTTTGAGGTTTGATGACTAATAACACCACTTTTTTTTTTTGGAGTTTCAAGATAATGCTATTCCACTGCTGGAATGGCCTGGGAATAGCCCAGACCTTAACCCAATTGAAAATCTATGGAGCTGACTAAAGAAACTTCTGAGTCAGAAGCAACCCAGCGATAAAACCCAGTTAATAGAAGCAATCCTTCAATCTTGGTTTCACATTATAACAGCTGCAGAACTAAAAGACTTGGTTCACTCCACGGGAAGACGTTGTAAGGCCATAATTCATGCTAACGGTTACCCAACTAAGTATTAATTGACGTGATAATTTTTGTATATCTCCTTTTTTCTACGTGTTTCCCTTTTCTTCTTTATACTGTAACTGGTATTCTAAGAGCAAATCTTTCACAAATGTTATTGCATTACATTCTTGATTAAATTATCTTTCCATTGATATATAATTTTAGGGTACTACTCCCCCCCCCAAAAAAAGTGGTGTTATTAGCTAGTTTTAGAAAATACTTTTCCCAAAAGGTTTCCACAATTTTGGCCACTACTGTAGTTTGGAGTTCTACTCCTGAAAGTTTTTGTGTTTCCTTTTAAGGAATTGCTCCAATTTCCTTAGATAAGAATTGAAGCTTGAAGCTTTCTTGGTGACAAAATTACGATGGCATGGCTGCACTGTGATTTAAATCCATCAGCTAAGACTAACTTCACATCTAAATCCAATAGGTTACAGTGCCAATCAGGCAGGTGAGATTGTCCATACATTATTAACCAAAGCAAAGCAGTGTAGAGCACAGGAATTAAATTGGGCTTGCATAAGAGTTTTCCAAACTGGAGTAGTCTTTTATTATTTTTGTGAAGATCATGCTTAGTGACTTCCTAAGTTCAGGTTCCATGTTAAAGTATGTTAGAGAAAGACTTCTTACTATTGACATTGATGGATAATATTCTGGTTTTAAATTGTGTTCTCATGTTAGAAATCTTTGCATCAGGGGTGAAATGCTCCCGGTTCAGACCGGATCACCTGATCCGGTAGCGATGGAGGCGGGTGGTTTGGAGAACCGGTAGCAAAAATCCCTGCCCACCCCGCCCTGCCCAGGTGTGCCTCATGATCATCAGAGGCTTTTTTTTTTTTTTTATTTTAAAAGCATTTTTTCTTCGGCCGAAAAAATGCTTTTAAAAGTTTAAAAAAAAAGCCTCTAATGATTGCGCGACTCAGCTGGGATCGCCAGAGCCTTTTAAAAGCATTTTTTCTACAACCTCTACAACCTCCTTTTAAAAGTTAAAATGGCCATGCCCACCCAGTTACATTACACACACCCCCAAGCCACACCCACAGAACCGGTAGTAACAAATTTTACATTTCACCACTGCTTTGCATCTATAGTAAGACTCTTTGTCCATGGTAGAAAACATACCATGAGAAACAGTGTAGAATCAGATCTAGAATATGGAGAGAGAGATCTTATTTGCAAATATATCTCTGAAATTTCAATAAATATGACTCATAAAATGCTGTTGGCAGGCAAACGGTTTTCAGCAGTTACAGGTTTTAGAAAGGAAACCTTGCAAATTTGGCTTTTTAACATCATTGATTTGGATTGAATTCAACTGTCACGTGAAACGGGTGGGTTCTACTTACCTTTACTACCGGTTTGCAATGGGACTGCACGCATGCACAGAAACTTCCTGATGACATCTGGGTCGGTGGGCGGAACCTCCTGCCGGTTTTACTACCGGTTCTTGTGAACCGGTCCGAACCGGGGGCAACCCACCACTGACATGAAATCTAGGAAAGAATAAAGATACCTGCTTGTGAAGTTCTGAGATTCTTTGAGGGTTAAATCTGAAGAACAGATATTTTGGGTTAGTTCTCAATCTGGATCATAAATCAGATTTAAAATTCTGTTTAGCAACTCATAAACCAGGGAATTATTTCACCTGAAATCATTTTCTCCCTTAGATTTTGAACTATAAACAAACAAAGTTCCAAGCTGGTCCAATAGCGGGAAAATATTTTTAATACTTCCAACTACTCAATAGGAATGACTTATTTTTATTTCATGAAAAAGCAGCATTTAAGGCAGAGACACATACATTCAGAAATAAGCCACTTTCTCAGTGCTTTACTTTTTTTTTCTTCTTTCATCATAGATTAGATGTCATTATTTCAAATATACATTTCTGTCCCATCAATGAATCACTGATTTAATAGGAACAGATCACTGGTTTTATTAGAGACTACATCCAGGCATAAAAAAATATCAGGAAGAGGGATTTTCTTCTTAGATTAGTATTGCCTATGCAAGGAGTTTTTTGCCTCCTCTATAGAGCATAGAAACAAGATATATTTCTGTTACAACCCTGGAAAAGCTGTATTTTCTAGTTACTGTAAAAGGGATTGCAATATATATTGTTTAGCTGTGATTTAAAATACAGCAGCTTGTTTAAGTCGGGGAATTATGCACCGTGCCCAATTCAGAGTATAGCTAAAAATTATTTCCACCACAATCCAGTGGCTGAGTCCTCCAGTGTTATTTAATCTACTTTGCTCAAGTGCTTTTAATCCAAAATTCAATGTATTGCATAGAAATACCTATTTTGCCTGTTAACTGATTAATACTTTCTAAATTCTGCATGGATTTACATAATCTGTCATAGCTTTTACATTCTTGCAAAATAGGGAATCCCCATCTAGGTGTGTTGATATGTCCAAAGTTACGTTCAATAAATCTGGGTGAATAACTGCATTCAATTTATGGTCATACCAGAACACAGCAACTGCAAAAATAGGTTTTTTTGGGTAAGGGAGCTCAAGTTAAATTGCTCCCTGGAGCACACTTGGGGAAAAACCTCTGTCTGAGAGTTTTTAGAGGGACGTAGAAAAGCTGCCTTAAACTGGACATCATACTGCACTTTTAAGTACAAATCATTGAAAATAGTCTCAGTTGGCTGGGTCAGGATAACTCAATCAGCCATAAACATTTTGATTTTCAAGCAGCACCAATGTCCTTTGTGCAGTCAGTTTAAAACAAAGCCAACCTCCTGATGGTTTAATGCAATGGGAAAAATCGAGCGGTTAAATCAGACTGCAGATCCATTTGGCTGTTGTTCGGTTGGAAGCGTCTGTTTTTTCTGAGTTTTAACTATGCAAGTGTCATCATCAGTCAATCAAAACAACTCTGCTTTTGGACTTTCTCTTTCCTCAGAGAAAGTGCTCATCTGTAAACAGCTGGCAAATTCGGTTTGCGGTGTTGTATCCTTTGCACAGGATCTTTCCTGCAGTCAAGACGAGGAAGGAGCGATTTGTGGTTTTGCTTCCTTTTATTTTACGTTCCGTAATAATTCCTTTGCATGGGTCTCCGCCATGATGCAAGAAACAAATGTCGACTCTTTTCTTTTCTCCCCGTTGTTCCCCCTCCCTTTATTTTCCTCTCCTTTTGAGTTGCTATGATTTCTAACATTTCTATTTTCGTGTTTGTTTTTTAATTTGCAGTTCAAGCTTCACATAAAGGCTGCCAAGTCAAAGGATGTTCCTGCATTCCCCTGCTTTTGCAGTAATGTGTTTCAGCCATCTTATATTTCTATTTCTTTTAAACACAAATCCTTCTGATTAGTGTCTTAGTATTAAGGGGGCGGGTGGGTGAAGCGAGAGGCTTCTTCCTCCTCCTCCTCCCTCTCCTCCTCCTTCTTCCTTCCTTCCGTTTTCTTCTTCCTCCCCTTCCTTCCCTTCCTCCTTCTCCTCCTCCTCCTCCTCTCTTCTTCCTCCTCCTCCTCCCTCTTCCTTTCCTCCTCCTCACCTTCTTCTCCTCCTCCCTCTTCTTCCTCTTCCTCCTTCTCCTCCCCTTCCTTCCTTTCCTCCTCTTTTCCTTCTCCCTCTTCTTCCTCCTCCTCCCTCTTCCTTCCTTTCCTCCTCCTCACCTTCTTCTCCTCCTCCCTCTTCTTCCTCCTCCTCCCTCTTCCTTCCTTTCCTCCTCCTCCTCACCTTCTTCTCCTCCTCCCTCTTCTTCCTCCTCCTCCTTCCTCTTCCTCCTTCTCCTCCCCTTTTTTCCTTCCTTTCCTCCTCTTCTTCTCCTCCTCCCTCTTCTTCCTCCTCCTCCTCCTCCTCCGAAGACCAGCAATGGTGATCAAGACCAAAGAGTTCATGAATTTAGTCCCTTGGGTTCAGGGGTGTCAGCAGAGAGGGAGTCAAAAAATCAAGAGAATAGCCACAACCGAACAATCCCTGTCCTTTTTTTTTTTTTTTACATCCATCACAATTCTCAAAAAGAAATGACAGGGCTTCAATCAACGGTTGTGATCACCTTATTGATGTTGTTTGGAGAACATCAGGTAGTCCTTGACTTACGACCACAATGTATCTCAAACATTTCTGTTGCTAAGCGAGATAGTTGTTAAGTGAGTTTTGCCCCCTTTTTACAACCTTTGATGCCACAGTGGTTAAGTGAATTACTGCAGTTGATAAATTAGTAACCCAGTTGTTAAAGTGAATCTGGAATCTGGTTGTAAGTCAAAGACTAGCTGTATATCCATGGGAGACTTGCCTGTTGATCTCTGGGTCAACAGAGATCCTCTTGAATGAAACATGGTGGCTGATGAATATCTTTAATGGCAGACTTGGCTCCTTTCTGTCTTGCAACATCCTATTGAGGAGCAGGGAGGACTAAAACCAAGTCCTTGACTATCCTAATATTTTAACAGAAAGCAACACCTTTATCTGGCAGTCCCATTGAAGTCGATGGGATCGTCTTCTGAGTTCACATATGAAGGATCGCATGAGCCTTAATTTTTAATTCCCATTAAAACCACTTGTATTTTACAAATTTGATTGTACCTTGATTTTCTTCAAGAAGGTATTCTCTTTAGGACTTTAGACATGTAATATCCTTCTGTGGCTTCAATTTGTCACACATTTTTCTCAATAAGGATCATCTTTTTTAGAAACCCATCATTGTAGTTCTATTTGCCTTGCCTTTTTGTACCAACAAAAAGCTCTGTCCGTTTTACTAAAGCTAGCAGCAATGAAAATAATTGCAGTCTTTGAGCAACTGTATGAATTATGTCCTTCCAAATGCCTCTTAAGATATTGCAGAGATCTAGCATGGAAGGATTGCTGATTTTCTCTAGAACTCTCCAGGATAATTTCAATTACAAATACATGTTTTCTTGCCTCTCTGGAGAAAAATATGATTAGGCTAAATGCCAAGTCGCATTCTGTCATTGAGGAATTCCAAAGTCAGAGTGCAAATGCCTAGTAAGAACATCATCCTTATCTCCTACAGCAGTGTGGCCGAGAAACTTAAGCAGACCGATTCTTGGAGCGTCACTGGTGCATTCATTTTGGTTGCCATGAATCTCCTTGAGACCCAACTTTAAGGTCCCAGGCTCAGATCTTTGAATAGTGGCTCTCCATCCATGAGTCAGTGCAACCATGGAAGTCCAGAACATTGTCTCTGACTTTGTTTAGGCTTTGTACTGGAATTCTCAGCAGGAAACAAAGCATATTTTGTGTACCAAAAAAAAACCCCTGTGAAGGAACTTGTTTGTACTTCTTAACCCCATCTTATAAATCACGTGATGATTATAAGTGAGGAACAATAAGGACTTTTCAACCTTACACGAAAGCTGTGCTGTTGTGTTTTGTTTTCATAAAGTCCTATCCAATCCAGTGCTTCTTCCAAGGAAGAATTTCAAGATGATAGAAAAAACTAGGAACTTATTGCATGTTGTTTTCTGTTTTGCATGGCTTTCCACTGGCATAATACTTTTGAATTTCCGTGAGTGCTACATGGGCTTCTTGCTTCTTGATTTTTTTTTCTTTAACCAAACAGCTAAAGGGAGGTCGTAAAACTTAACAAATGCAACCTATATCCAATGCAGAGTTGCAATGGTTTTTTTTTTTTTTGATTGATGATTGATTCTATTTTGGTTTCTTCATCTAAGGCAATATTTCCAACCTGAGCCATTTTAAGATGGGTGGACAACTCCCAGAATGCTGGCTGAGGTATTCTTGGGAGTTGAAGTCCACCCGTCTTAAAATGGCTCAGTTTGGAAAACACTGACCTACGGGAAGAATAGGGCATCAAGTAACTCCTTGCAAAAGACTCTGGAATTCTAGATTTTCCAAAATCAAAGGGTGTATGAAGGAATTACTTAACTGCCTATTCGGAAAAAGAGAAACATAATCCATTAGAGTTGGGATCAAACTTAATGGAATAATGGATATTAGTGCTATGCCTAGTCACCTGACTTTAATTCAATAGCACTATGTACCTGAATGTCAAAGGAAGTATTTCATACAAATTTTTTTTTAAAAAAAAATCTTGCCAATTCTAGTAAGTATGCAGCAGCCTTTTCCAACCGCTACCCTCTAATTAAAGGAGATATCAAACTTTTTGGTACAACAACCTGCTGAAATGATAAATAACCCAATGAACAAAATAGATGATTACTTCCTTGTGGATAATATTGGTAGAAAATGCACTTTTAATACTTGCTTTTTTTTTAACTCCATCCAATAAAAGGGTAGAACAGCACATTATAAAACAGAACTCGTTTGCTGAATTTTTTTAAAGGCCTCAAAAGGATCAGCTTGCCTACTCTTGCATAAATCCTAAAATCTGGATTTCATCTTTGTGACGCAGTGTCTACTGTATGTGAGAATCTTGTCCATTTCAATTGTTTTGAGCCACAAAATAAATTGCCCTTCCATCCAAGCAAATGACAATACTTCACTGTTGATTGGACATAATAGTCTTTAAAGGAGTCATTCAGGCTTTCTGAAAAATAAGCAGACACGCAAGCATAAGAAAGATCATTTTCAAAATAATGTTCTGTGACATTTAAATGATGCAATGTTACTAGGGGTTTGCGGAATCCTTACACCATTACTAAGAAAAGGGAGCAAGTGGAAAGAAGGTTTGTAAGCTAAGTAATACTCAAAAGTGTGAGTTTGCCTGCCACAGTTTGGGAATCTTTTCTGAGATGACACCTGTCACAATCCACAGATAACATTGGTGAAATTGATGCTGGATATGAATTCCTGGAATTGTGGTCTAACTTTTCTGGTTTCCTGTAACTTCAGACAATGATGGAAATCTTGGTTTGGCAGATGGACATCTTGGCATACTGGTTAAAACTGCACTTTTCCAAGTGTCTTGAGAAAAAAAAAAAGCCATGAGTACTGAGCCAGTTGAAAACCTGTGAAAACGTTCAGTGTAGACTTCGGATAGGGAAAAAAGGAAGTTATTTTGCCAGTATGATTTTTTTACTTTCATCATTGTTAAATGGCGAGTGCCAGCAAAGTTGAATGTACAAATAAAATATATCCTCTGTTTTTATGAAGTTCTGCAAAGATGAAGTGTTGAATTATTTCTGCTGGATAGATTCTTTTCCTTTCTGATATATCGTGACCTCTATTCAGCTCCTTGGCTTCTGAATTCCTTTGTGTTTTCAGCTGATGTCCTATCAACTTTGTCTCGGCATCTTCTGTTTCTTGCCTTCTTAAACCGCTTTTGGAATATATACCAGTCCGCTGAGTCTTTGCTCACTTTCCGCATTCCATTGCTTCTCCTTTCCAACAGTTGAGATGGATTTCAAGGTTTTCTTGCTCTTAACTAATGCAAAAACTAACCCGTGATGAAGCTCGATCTTTCTTCAACTAAACAGGTTTTTTTTTTGGGAGGAGAGGAAGAGGTAACAGGCTAAGCATGGAGTTGAGCTATCACAAAAGATAAAACAGATAGAAGGTAGAGTGTGTTCCTCAAAATTGGTAACTTTAAACTGTATGGATTCCGACTCCCAGAATTCCCCTGGCTAGCTGGGGGATTCTGGGAGTTGAAGTCCATACAGCTTAAAGTAGCCAAGATTGAGGAACACCAGGCAAGAGAGTGAAGCGACTAAAAAGCTTTTACGATGAATAGTTGCAGGAACTCGGCATTGCTAGTCTAGTGAAGAGAAGGACCAGGGGAGACATGATAGCAGTCTTCCAATATTTTGGGGGATGCCACAGAGAGGAGGGGGGGTCAAGCTATTTTCCAAGACACCTGAAGGTCAGACAAGGAATAATAGATGGAAACTGATCAAGGAAAGACTCAACCTGGAAATAAGGAGACATTTTCTGACCGTGAGAACAATCAACCCATGGAACAGAAGTTGCCTTCGGAAGTTGTGGGAGCTTCATCACTGGAAGCTTTCAAGAAGAGACTGGACGGCCATTTGTCAGAAATGGTGTAGGGGCTCCTGCTTGGGCGGGGGGGGAGAGGGTTGGACTAGATGACCTACAAGGTCCCTTCCAACTCTGTTAATCTGTATCTGTCTCTCTCTCTGCTGGTAGACCTTAACTTTTCCCAGACTTAAAAATTGGAGCCAGTTTCCTAACCATGCCCTTGTTTGACGCCTTTTGTGCAATTCTCTGGAGTTTGAGTGCTTTTGTTATGGTGTGCTTCTGCCAACTGTGTCTGTCTGTTGTCCTATTTTTCATTGGCTTCCGTGCCTGCTGAATTTGTTCTTCTCCTGCTTAGTTTTGTGGAACTTGTGTGACACCCCAGTGCACATGCACACACTGGTTGGGGGAGATGTAGACAACCGTTGGCTAAAGATGGTACTTTTCACAAGATGTGTGGGAAACTTAACGGGCTACCCAGTCTTCCATGACATCCTTTTTGTTCGTGTTCAATGAGTCAAAAATTAGCAGGAGGGTGATGACAATGGGGTCCTCATTTAGTGGGGAGATCCCCACCTGCAGAAGGGCCCTGACCCTTCCTCCAAATGAAATTGGGGTGGAAAAACAATTAGGTTAGTCCATAAACAAGCAGACCTGCCCCCCCCCACTTACTTAACCGTCATTAAGTAAGGAAATGACTGCTAAGTATCAACCGTGTTAAGTGTCAGGATATTGAAGGTAGTAGCTGGAACAGCAAAGTGTACAATAGGCCAGAACACCAACAAGTTGTACAGGTTGTCCTCGACTTACGACTGCAATTGAGGCCGACATTTCTGTCGTTAAGTGAGACATGGGTGAAGTGAGTTTTGCCCCGTTTTTACGACTTCTCTTGCCACATTTGTTAAGTGCATCGCTGCAGTTGTTCAATGAATGACACGGTTGTGAAGGGAATTTGGCCTCCTCCCCACCCCACCCCACCCCCACCATTGACTTTGCTTGTCAGAAGGTCGCAAAAGGGGATCACAGGACCTTGGGACACAAGCAATGGTCGTAACTATGAAACGAGTTGCCAAACGTTTGAATTTTGATCATGTGACTGTGGGGATGCTGGAAAGGTCGGAAGTGTGGGGAAAACGGTCGTAAGTCACATTTTTCAGTGCCGTTGTAACTTGGGACGGTCACTAAACGAACGGTTGTAAGTCGAGGACTGCCTGTAAGTTGATTAGTTAGAGAGTGCTGACTCATACATGAGGCGATCGACACTGTGATTGGTTGCTGTAAGCATAAAGGGGGCGTTTCTCTTTTTTCCCGCCTTTTTCTCTTCAGTGGATTCTATATACTGTTCAATTTTACCTCATGATGTTCCTTGCGATCCCAACTATCTTACATTGTTTCTTTCTGATTACAAAAGACTCCTGAGCAATTCCATGATATTCAGTTAGCCAGGAATCATTGCTTGTGTACTAACACAGTTGTAAAAGTTTGGCCCTTTTCACTTTCCATAGACAAGTCCTCGACTTACGGCCACAGTTTAGCCCAAAATTTCTGTTGCTAACTAAGCGAAACATTTGTTAAGTGAATTTTGCCCCATTTTACTCTCCTGTCACAGTTGTTAAGCGAATCCCTGCAATTAAGTTAGTAACATGGTCGTTAAGTGAATCTGGCTTCCCCGTGGACTTTGCTGGTCAAAAGGTCGCAAAAGGCGATCACATGACCCCGGGACACTGCAACTGTCATAAGTATTGAGGGCCACACAATATGGATTTAACTTGCAATATGGTTTTTGTAGTACTGTTACACTGGGCAGCTGACTTGGGTTTTCTGGTATTTTAAAGCTTACGGCAAATTATTAGCTGTCCATTTTGAAAAATGGCAAATTTAAAACACAAGAAAACCTATGTTAGTTGGCCAGTGTAACAGTACTACAAAAACCATATTGCAAGTGTTACAAAGTCCATATTGTGTGGCCCTCCATATGCCAAGTGCCCGAATTTTGATCACGTGATAATGGGCTTGCAACGGTCGTTTAGTGTGGGAAAACGGTGCATAAGTCACTTCTTTTCAGTGCCGTTGGTCACTAAATGAACTCTTGTTAAGTCGAGGACTACCTGTATTATGGAAGGCCCTGGTCAGAGATTTCCCCATGCTAATAATACAGTTTGTTCAGTGAACAAATCTGGTTTTTTTTAAAAAAAAAAAAAAACTTTGTCAGCTTTCAGGGTCCATCATTTTTTGCACAATTGAAGTTGCAAGTCATTTGGACTAACATTGGTAGGAGAGTTGCTGTGATACTTTTAATGTCTCTGTTATAGCTAAAAGAAAAGTTCCTGATGGACAGTCGTGCATTTAGGCTTCCTCTGCTTTCATAGGGCATTCACAGACACACTCAGCTTTTGTGTGGCTCCTGTAAAGCTAATCACAACCCAGCCTTGTTTGCTGTCTCATTGGCCCTTAAAAAAGAAGTCACCTTCTTCAGCATTATCAAATCATCTGAAGCAGGTTTTCCAACCTTGGCCCTTAGAAGAAATGTGGACTTTCAATTCCCAACATGTCTGGCTGGGGAATTCTGGGAGTTGAAATCCATATGTCTTCGAGGTATCAAGGTTGGAAAACCCTGAATCTAAGGGATTCATTTATTTGCAAATCTTTGCCCAGTGAGTTTTGTTTTTGATTGAACTAGACAGGGTGGTAGCCAAATATAGTGAAAAAGAACTGAGAAAAAAAGAACTCAGTGAGTTTACTGAAGAAAATAGTCCCCCTCTTTTGCCATATTAGAAAGAAATTTGGCATCATAAAAAGCCTACCATTTTCTGCTCCTAGTGCCTTAGATATTTAGAATTCGATTCCCTTTTATTTCAGATAAAAGGTAAAGGTTCCCCTCGCACATATGTGCTAGTCTTTCCCGACTTTAGGGGGCGGTGCTCATCTCTGTTTCAAAGCCGAAGAGCCAGCGCTGTCCGAAGATGTCTCCGTGGTCATGTGACCGGCATGACTAAGCGCCAAAGGCGCACGGAATGCTGTTACCTTCCCACCAAAGGTGGTCCCTGTTTTTCTATTTGCATTTTTTACGTGCTTTTGAACTGCTAGATTGGCAGAAGCTGGGACAAGTAATGGGAGCTCACTCCGTTACGCAGCACTAGGGATTTGAACCGCTGAACTGTTGACCTTTTGATCAACAAGCTCAGTGTCTCATCTACCACGTCCCAGTTATTCCAGATAGCCTTAGACTGTGACAAAGAACTTCAAAGTGCAAAATATCTAGAAGACACCAGGTTGTAACCTGGGTGTAATCACTGCAATTTCCATTCAGCTCTGCTTGCCAAATTCACCCCATGAATTTTAGTTAATTTCCCTCCAATATTTTTTTCTTCTTCTAGGGCCCATCAAGACACAGTGCAAATAAAATCTGTTAGAAAAGTTAAAAGTCTTTTCTCCCCATTATCTTGTAATTGCACCAGCCCAAAGGGTGTAAATGTTCTCCAGGAAGGTTGGTGGAAGTAAATAGGACGCAAATGTCTATGTACACTGGATCTGCAGCCCTCATTCCAGACCCAGTAAATCAGGGGTTCCTAAACCTTGGTCCGCAACTCGGTACCAGGCCACGGCCCGTTGGGAACCAGGCCGCACAAAAAGCAGGTGAACGCACAAAGCTCAAATTGTATAAGTGGCAGACGCATGCATGAAACCATCGCCTCTCCCCTACCTGTCAGTCTGCAGAGCCAGAAAGGTTGGGGACCACTGCAGTAAATGATAGAAAATGGGGAGGCTGTTTTTCTTATTTTTAACTCTGCAGATTAGGGAACTAAATAACAACGAAACGAGAATCTTGTCCTGTTTTATGGCACTCTCTGAGCTATGTGTAGTTCGTTGACTCCTGCACTTGCTTTTCCTTTCTGCATCTATCTATGCCTTTCTTCACAGTAACCCTTGGCTGTGCACAGAATAATGTCTCTCCTCACCACTTTTGGGATGTGCTTTCACTCTGCATGTAAGTACAGCTTGAGAAGAAAAAGTTTGTCTGTTTTTGGAGGGAGCTTACAGGCATAATGAGTATGGTTCAGAATAAGTCTCTGCTTCTCTTGGCCAGGATAAACAAGTATTTCTAACTGGAACATACGGTAAACATACTGACTCCACCTTCAGGAGCTGATGAGTTTTCAGCCCCTTTGAGACCAGAGGC